CTCTCCGCGGGCCCGGGCGGCGCGGCGGGGGCCCCCGGTCCTCCCCCGCTCCCCCGTCGCCTTCCCCCGCTCCTCGCTGGCGGCGAAGCGAGGCTCCGCGGGCCGCCCCTCCCGGGCCGCTCCAGCCTCGCCGCCGCCCCTGCAGCGCCGCAGCCGCGGAGGGCGCCCACGGGCCCCCCGCGCGCGTCGGAAGAGCCCCGGTCCAAGGCAGGGACCGAGCAGCAGCCGAGGCGCCGCCTGAAGCGAGCCTGGAGGGCCCGGAATGCTGCCCGCCCGCCCGCCAGGGCCGGGGAGAGGGGAGGCCGGCTCGGGTGCTACGCGGGCTGCACCGGCGCTCCCCGCGGGGACCCGCAAGCCCCCAAGCCGAGCGCCCGTTGGCATCCCCCGGCCGTCCGATCGTGCCATGCGAACTGGCTCTGGGTACGAAGGGGCCGGCTGGGGGCATCGGAGCCTGGCCTAGTGTTCCGACGTTGTAATTTTCTGAAAACTTACTATTTCTTTTGCTTCCTTTACATAGCTTTACACGTACAACCCACTTGTTTCCTCTTGCCGAGAAACCAAGGCAGCTCACATGCTCCGGTTCTCTCCATTTTATCCTCACCAGAACCCTGCAAGGTAGGTCGCGGACTGAGTTGTTGCCTGGCATAAAGTCAGTTATGATTCCATAGCTCATGTGGATATGAACCCAGTCCCAGTGCGACAGTTTAACCACTACAGCTTGTTTAATCGCTGACTTTGAGATACTTTTGGGGATGGCCTTGAGATCTTGCCAGGTTACATCAGCAGATAAGGCAACCCAGACAGTCCAAGCAGCCAGAAGTACCCAAGAGCTGGGGCTGATTATGAAGGTAGGAAAGTTTGTCGTGGGTTAGGTTATTAATTCTGCAATCCTATACTCCCATACTTGGTACAACACCTGCTGGTCTCAGTAGGACTTATTTCTAAGTAGGCATTCATAGGATTTTGCTGTAAGCGCATTGCACTAGCATTCATGTCTCAAGGCAGTTGAAAATTCTGGAAAAGTGGATTAAAGATGCTGATTTGCCATATTCCATAGCAAATCCCTGCAAGACCTGCTCACCTATGCATTTTGGCCTAAATTTCAAATTCCTTCAAATGGCTAGGTATTTGGGAAATTTGATCACCCCAAAATACAGGCAAGCCTTTTCAAAGAGCCAGATTTTACTGCCTTCCATCTGCAATCTTAGATGGGTGCCCTTATGATTTGCCATATGGAAATGGACCATGCCCATATAACAACATAGAAATGTAAACTCTGGAGCACGTCCTTCTCATATGCCATTCTTACAGGGATGAGCATACGAGGCTCCTGAATCATGTAATGGATGATTTCCCAGGTAGGACCTTGGATTGGTATTTAACATATTTCCTAGCTGATATGAATAGGTTTTATTTATTTATTTAAAACTTTTGTATACTGTCCCATCAGACATCTCAGGACGGTTCACAATAACAAGAAGATAAAAAAAATAAAAGGCTCAGCTCAGAATTAGTAGCACAACGAATTCACAAGATGATCCTTTCTTCCATTTTATAATTCTTACTTGTTTTTAAGTCACCCCCCTCTAATTTATTTTACTGTTTTTATGAGTTTGTTTTATTAATATTTTTGGGTCTGTACCTGTATAATAAACATTGATTCTTTGAGCAACAGTGTCTTAAGCCCTTAAGTGTCTACAAGCATTTTCTGAAACCTGCAAAATATTAGCATTTCATGTACAAAATATACCTTTAATCAATTAGCTTGTTTAATAGTTTATTCTGCCTCTGTCAGTGCCCATCTCACCGCTAAACCCTTTACATTAAACTACACAAAATTGAGTGGGATAGCACCTTTGAGGAGAGAAACAAAACTCAAAGTGATCTTGATAGACTGGAGCCCTGGGCTGAAAGCAACAGGATGAACTTTAATTGGGACAGACTCCAAGCTCAACACTTAGAGAAAGAAACCAAATGTATCAGTGCAAGATGGGGATATTTGGCTATACGATACTGCGAGTGAGCAGAATCTTGGAACTGTTGTATTCACAAGTTGAATATGAGTCAAAACTATGATATGGCTGTGAAAGAAGCAACTGCTATTTGAGGCTGCATTAATAGAAGGCTCACGTCCCGATCACGAGAGATACTGGTTCCCCTCTCCTCAGCCCTGGCTTGGCCTTATCTGGAGTCCTGGGTCCAGTTCAGGGCTGCACAGTTCAAGATAGATGCAGACGAGCCGCAAAGGGTTCAGAGGAGGGCAACACGGGGAGACTGAGAGGAGATAGGATGGCACTTCATCATGAAGAGGAAGGACACGATCTCTTCTTGTCCATCCCAGAGTGCAGGACACGGAAGAACAGGACCTAGTGACAGGAAGCCTGGCTCCGGCTAGAAATCAGGAAAAGATTCCTGACCGGTAGAGCAGTACGAAAATGGAACCAATGACCTAGGGAGGTTGTGGGCTCTCTCACACTGGCAGAGAATTCTTTCATCCTTGAAAAGCAAGCATTTGGTTAAAAAACAAAAGTAAAACCCATAGGTGGAATTGCTCTGTAAGGGTGCAATTTCACCTATTAATAAATCACCTGTCCCAGCAGATGTCCGTGCAAGAATTCTTAAATGTCCAGTATGAAATTGCTCACAAAATAAGTTACCTGTTTTAAGATCAGCCTCTTATACTGGCAAAGAATTCCTTCACCCTTGAAAAATAAGTATTTGCTAAAAGGGGGAGGGGGAAACATTGATAGGATTGCTCAGTAAGGCAGCACTTCCACCCATCCGTTAATTAATTACCAGGCCCGGGTGGTGTCCATGCAAAAATTCTTAAATCTCCATTATGAAATTGCTAACAAAAATAATGCAACTGGTCTTAAGATCAGCCTCTTTCCTGGAGGACTGGAGAAAGGCCAACACCCATTTCGAAGTTGAGATCATGGATGGATCTGGGACATTACAGGCTGGTTAATTTCTGTTCTGGTTAACTTGGTTGTAAGCAGCATTAAGTATAATTAGGTGTAGGGACACAGAGAGCTCCCTTGCATGAACTGGGTGCAGAGAGCATGATAACAACCCTGCAGGATTGTGAAGCGTGCAGATTTTTGCCTGAACTCACCAGCCCAACAATCGCCTGGTTCCCTGGGCCATGTGGGGTTTGGGCTCCCCACTCTGTCCTGCTCTCACCATGCATGACACAAGCCCGCCCCCCACGCAGACTCCCCATCTGTATGGCATTGCTCCCTATGGACCTGGACTGCTTCTTTCTGATTGGTGCATTGAGGATTGGAGGTGGGTTTTCCCCCTCTGCATCTCCACAATTCCTCCCCTGGCAAAGAACAAACAACTATATGTTGATGCCACATGAGTTAGCAGGACTGAACGAGAAAAAGATATTGGGGTTTGGGGTGATGAAACTATCAACCCGGTGAAGAAGGTAAATCCTGTTTTAGGGATAAATATGAAAGGAATTCAGAATAAAATTTCCAAGCTCACACTCCCCTCATAGAAATTTGCAGTGCTACCAGATTTCAAATACTGCCTGCAGTTCTGGGTACCACACTTGAAAAAAAGTGAATGCAATGTTGGCAAAAGCAGAAAAATGCATCTAACTTGATCCTAGGAGCATGAGAACATAGGAAGTGGCCTGCTAGGTCAATGTGTGGGTCCATGCAGTCCAGCATTCTGTCCCCACAAGAACCAGCCAGGTGCCCATGGGACCCATAAGTAGGGCTGGAGAGAAGCAGTGTCCTCCCTCCAAGCTCTTCAGCAAGAGGAGGGGCAGGAACAGCTTGCTTACAAAGGGGTAGAAACAGCTGGGATGGCTTAGCTGGGAGAAAAGGCAAGTGGAAACGTGATGAAGGTGTGCAGAATTACACAGGATGTGGAAGGCGCAGACAGGAAGGCCTGTTTCCCCAACGTTGCCCCCTGAAGCTGCTTGGCGGGAGATTCAAGGCAGAGAAAATGGCTTGCCTCTTCACACGCCGCACAGCAAAACTATGGAAACAGCACCCACAAAGCGCAATGATGGGCACCGAGACGGGTGACCTTCAAATGGACAGGATGTATTCATGGAGGATCGGCATATCAGTGGCTACTAGTCTGGATGGCTATTTGCTCTCTCCAGTATCAGGGGTAGTGTGAATATCGGTTGATTCTACACCAATCCACAGCTGAAGCTCTCTGGGCAGTTAAAATAATTTCATTTCTCTACCATCGAATAGCTGGAGCTCTCTGGAAGGTTTGCTAGTTTATACAAACGCTACAGCTGGCTACGTGTACCAGTTGCTGAAAGAAGGGAGAAACAACAGGTATGCCCTGTTTGTGGGCTTCCCAAGAGTAGCCAGCCAGCCAGTCAGCCAATATATGGATAGGTTGCTGAACTAAGATGGACCCAGCCTGGCCTTTTTACGCTCCTAACTCCCCTTCCGGGCCCACAAAGTAACATTCATTGGGATTTTCTAGGAAAATTAATCACTGCATCCTGCAGAACAAAATGTGTCCCACTTTCTGTGGAAACATCAAGTCTACGTCTCTTGCAAGTTTAATGAAATAATAATAATCCAAGAGAAGTATCACATATTTCAATGTTACTCTACTGTAAATACTCTGTGATGAGCCACAAGTACACCTTCCGGCTGAAGCTTTTCTCACACTTGGGACTTGCATATGGTTCACATGAATTCTCTGATGTCTCTTTATATGTCATATCCCATTTAAACATTTTCCACACTGAGAACATTTGTATGAATTTTCTGATGACACATCCAGTTTCCACTGTGCCTGAAGGTTTTTCCATGCTAAGAGCATTTGGTCAGCTTCTCTCAAGCATGAATTCTCTGATGTTCTCTCAGATTCTTATTCCTTCTGAAGCTTTTGCCACATTCAAGGCATTTGTATGATTTCTCTCCGGTATGAATTCTTCTATGTTTCATCAGACACCCACTTGATCGGAAACTTTTTCCACATTTATGGCATTTGTATGGTTTCTCTCCAGTATGAACCCTTTGATGTATTCTCAGAGAGTTACTCATTGTGAAACTTTTACCACACTCGAGACATTTGTATGGTTTCTCTCCAGTATGAATTCTCAGATGACACGTGAAGTTTCCATTCTGCCTGAAGTTTTTTCCACACTCAAAACATTTGTATGGCTTCTCTCCCGTATGAATGCTCTGATGTTGTCTCAGATTCTTACTCCAATGGAAGATTTTACCACATTCAAGGCATTTGTATGATTTATCTCTAAGATGAATTGTTTGATGTGCTTTGAGAGTTGCAATGGATTTGAAAGTTTTTCCACATTGAAAACATTTGTATGGTTTCTCTCCAGCATGAATTCTTAGATGTTTTCTCAGCTGGATAAGCCATGTGAAGCCTTTACCACATTCAAGGCATTTGAATGGTTTCTCTCCAGCATGAATTCTTACATGTTTTCTCAGCTGGATAAGCCATGTGAAGCCTCTACCACATTCAAGGCATTTGAATGGTTTCTCTCCTGTATGAATTCTCCCATGTTCTCTCAAGTAGCACGCTCGTCCAAACTTTTTCCCACACTCTAAGCATTTGTGCAATTTCTCTCCAGAATGAATTCTTTGATGTTCTCTCAAAGTATTACTCCGTCTGAAGCTTTTCTCACATTCAGGGCATTTGTATGGTTTCTCTCCACTATGAATTCTTTGATGTATGTTCAAATCTGCAATGTCCATAAATGTTTTCCCACAGTCAGGGCATTTGTATGGTTTCTCCCCAGTATGAATTCTTCGATGTCTTCTCAGCTGGTTATGCCATGTGAAGTTTTCACCACAGTCAGGGCATTTGTATGGTTTCTCCCCAGTATGAATACTTCGATGTTCTTTCAAATGGGTCCTCTGACCAAAGTTTTTCCCACAAACAAGGCATTTGTGTGATTTCTCCTCAGAATGAATAAGCTCATGTTTCCTTACCCCCTTTCTCGTACTGAAGCATTTCCCACAGTGAAAACATTTATGTGGATTTTCTCCAGAAGGAATCTCCTGTTGACTAAAAGTAAAGAGTTCCTCGGACTGGGGACATTCCAGTCTTTTCTCACCAGGATGGCCTTGTTCATGATCCAGCAAATGTTCTTTCTGACTAAAGCATGTGCTAGAATGAGCTTGTCCGTGCGGTTTGCCTTCACTTTGAGGAATTCCTCGATTACTGTGTGAGGACTTTGCACGACTGACGCGCTTCACAGGCCTGTTGGAAACATGAGGTGCCTGTCCTGGGTGGCTATTCTGAGGTCTGCTTAAATTACCCCCTTGGCCATTCTCAGAGGGTTCAGATCTACTCCTTTCTTTTACCTTTCTCTGAAGGTGGTCAGTCCGTGCACTTTGATGGAGACTTTCCTCTGATGAGGGACATGCGTCATCCTCATCACTGTAGCCACGGTCATGCTCATCATCGGTATGGTCATCGTAGTCTTCACTGCTGGTATCTAACGCACCAGGCTCTATCTTGTAGCAATATCTTCTGCCATACCTGGAGAACCTGGGTATGTTCTCCCTTGTGTGAACTTTGGAAGACTGGCTAATTGCAGCTGCAGTGCCTTCTGATCGCTCGTTCCGTTTATTCCTTCTCCCTGCATGCTGCTGCTTTTGACCCTCATTGGACTTGCCTGCTTCTTCATGCAACTCTGCTGTCTCCAGAAGTTTCCCTTGACTTGTCTCTGTTGCAGTCGTGGTTGTATTCTCAGCCTCATTTCCTCTGCGCCGAGAATTCTCCATCTTGCCCTGACTTCCTCCTTTCTTGTCACCTGTAGGTATAAAAGGGGAATTTTGGCCATGCTCTGGTGACCTCTTTGGAACACACCTGTAGTTTCAGGATGTAAAAGTAATGCTAGAAAAGACCAGGGATCTGTTTAGTCCAGCGGTTTCTTCACACAGAAGAAACGGGAAACCCACAAGCCCCTCCCCGCCCAAGCCCTCAGCAACTAGCTTACAAAAGCACCCTGCCCCTGACCCTTGAGGTGATGTGTCACCACAGGGACTAATAGCCCAGGGGACCATTTTCCTCCATGATTTTGTCCTGTCCCCTGTGGAAGCCATTCAGATGGTGACCCACATTATATCCTGTGGACGTGAATTCCGTAGTTTGCCTGTGGGGTCTGAGAAGGAGCCCTTCCTTTTATCCCTTGTGAATCTTCCGCCCATCAGCTTCATGTGGAGAAATAGGTCTTTGTATACTTCTGCCATTTCTCTCTTGCCTTTTCTCTCAGCTCAGCTGTTCTATCTGAGGCCCTTCTTTCTCTGCGGCATGTTTCTTTTTATTCCTATTTCTACCTCCTCCCTTTTTCCTCAAGCGTTTATTTTCAATTACAGAATAGTGACCAGAACACTAGGCATTTGAATTCATTTAAAATGTAAACCATATATGTGGGCTAGCACTGTTATTTTTCATGAAAGATGCTTTTACCTATATCTGCAAATTCCTTCATTCACTCCAAGGGCTCTTGATTGACATTTTAACACCGCTCTGTCTTTTAACTCCTTTCAGGACTTAAAATGCTAAAGAGAAGCCATTCTTCTTTCCTGGAGTCCTGCCACTCAAAGGAAAGATTATCTTACCTAAAGTGGCATCCTCACTGTCATTCTGCATGACTGGCTGGGCAACGGTGCCTCGGACGGGCTGCTGGAAAATCTGCCTGCCGATCTGCAAAGGCAGACTCTGTTCCTTGGGTTTCCATGCTCCCAGCAACTAGGAAAGAAGCAAGCTAGCTCACCAAATCAAGAGTCTTACAGTTCTAGCTGCATCAATCAGTATTCAGTGAAACCAAAATCAAGGATAAACGCCCCCTCCCAGCCCGAAGTTTGCAAATCTTGTTTTGAAGAACATCGGAGGAAATCAGTTGCTGCTTGAAAGTTTCCATGTCTGTTTCTTGCTGCAGTCCTATCTATCTGGGGGACTAGTGTGCTGTAACTTTCTCTCTAACCTGAGTTTTGAATGCAAATTTCTCAACAGGCTAAGCCTATGCAAACATACGCTGTATGGCCATTAAACATACATGAACTCACCGGAATGCCACTGGCCTCTTTTCCACCACTGGGGTTCATCTCCTGCTCTACAGAAAGTAGTGAAGGGCTGGCAGTATCTTTGATTCCCAGGCCTAGGGCCTCCCCTTGCAGGATGACGGCCTTCACTTTCCCATAATCTCCTTGATCTCTGGCCTCCAGGCTTTGAAGGGCCTGCTAAGTGCTCGCATCCAGCCTTGGAGGTCGGGCGGCAGGCTGGCCAGGAACTGCTCCAGGATCAGCAGCTCCAGGATCTGCTCCTTGCTGTGCCGCTCCGGCTTCAGCCACTGCCGGCACAGCTCCTGGAGCTGCCGGTGCAGCCGCCGGGGGTCCTCCACCTCCTGGCAGCAGAACTGCCGGAAGAGCTGGCGCTGCACCTCCCTTCTCAGGGCCTCCCCTCGCAAGATGGCGGCCTTCACCTTCCCGTAGTCCTCCTGATCTCCGGCCTCCAGGCTTCGAAAGGCCTGCTCTGCCTCCCCACTCAATGTCGGCAAGAGTCGAGCTGCCCACTCCCCTCTAGGCCATCGAAAGGCCTTGGCCACTTGCTCGAAGGAGGCCAGGAAGGCCTTGGCATCTTCCCAGGGGGCAGCCTCTGACAGCCCTGGGTTTCCACATGTTGTGTGAACGGGGCGCCCTGTCTCCAGGAACTCCTGCTGCTGGGCTTCCCAGTGCTCTTGCGTCTCTTCCAATGGTTCTTCTTTGCCCTGTGATGTCGCCCATCCTGGTCAGACTGCCATATTTTCTGGGGTTTCCACGCTGGGGGCGTTTCCTGGCCAGACTAACCCTTCTGTTTGTTCTGTGCCTGCAGGCTTTTCTGCCTTCATGGCTTTCTCCTTGTCTCTCTGATCTATTTTTTCAAATTAGCCATTGAGTGGAACATATTAAAGAGATGCAATTAGTAAGTGTTTAAGAAATTAATTTGGAAATACAAGGAAAGATTCCTATCTACATACTTTACAAGGTATTGGTTTTAAAAGTTATAGTATGGTATGGAAGCAGAACTAGTGAGGTTTCATGATCAAATGGATAGAAACACCAGCAACATTAACATTATGGGTATCTGGGCAAATCTGAGGAATCAGAGTCACTCATTTGCTCCCCATATACAATTCATGCCATGGTGGTAGTAATTTTGCAAAGGAAAATATTTTTCAGAAGTACCCATTTCCTTGTAAGAAGGGAATGTTTTCCTATGGAAATGTATTGTTTTGAAATTATGATCACCTATGGAGAGATGTCCAGGGTACAAAAGATAAAATACAGAAATCATATTTACAAAAGGGAACAGGTAATTCTGTTTGTGATATGTCCAGATAACATTAGTTTATTAAATGATCTGATATGTATTAAATCTTGAAAAGTATTCAGTCATTAAAACCCTAATGGAACAAATAAAATATGATTATCCATGTGACTCAGTCACAAGGTGTTTCAAACATGTTATCACACTAATTTTTCCAAAATTCTGCAGCGTCCCATTTTGCCACGGGGCTGAAACAGAAAGATTAGCATCCTCTAATCATCCTTTGGGTTCTTGCTCAGTATCTGTACTGCTTGGGGCGATGGGAGTTGTAGTCAGATGTATTTGGATAGCACCATGATAGGAAAAGCTGACCTAGATGGGGAAATGCTTGGAGTGGATATAAAACTACATTCTAGCCCTCCGTTTGAGCTTAAATGTGACAAACCCAGTAGGCCTTCATCTGCGAGGAGGGCCAGGGTGCAAGGCCCGCTTCTATCTTTCTTTCCTCGAAAGAGTGCCAGTAACTTCCCGGTCTTTTTCAAGGTCTCTGCAAAGTCGCCACAGGAGAAGTCAGGCCTAGGCCTACTTTTTGTAGGAACATGGATGGGCCCATTCTCAGAACTTATTTTAAACTTGTGAACAACCTGGAAGCGTGTGTACCAAGCCCAGCAAATGGGCAGGCCGGAGTCCGGGCTAGACCAGGGAATCCAGGCAACCCCAGTGTCTGCGAAGAGGCAAGCCAAGAGGAATTGCGTGCTCCAACTCAAGCAGCGACTCACCGGGGCAGCTTCCCCAGGGAGCCCCGGGCAGCCAGAGCCTGGGCGGGTTTTGGCCGGACTCTCAGCCCACCGGCTGCAAGCCAGATCTTCGAGCGGGAGGACCTGTCAGCCCGGCCAAGCGTCCTCCAGGTGCTTTCCGCGGGCCCCTGGCGGAGCGGGATGTGGGGCAGCGGGGGCCGCCGGAGGGGCGCGGGCGGCGGGGTGGCGGCAGCCACCGGCCCCCTTCCCGGTCGGCTTCCTCCGCTCCTTGCTGGCGGCGAAGCGAGGCTCCGCGAGCCGCCCCCTCCTGGGCCGCCCCAGGCTCGCAGCCCTGAGCTCGCCGCCCCTGCAGCGCCGCGGCGCCGACGGGCCCCCTGCACGCACTTCGGGGCGCGCCAGAAGAGCCCCGGTCCAAGGCATGCACGGAGCAGCAGCCGAGGCGCCCCCCGAAGCAAGCCTGGAGGGCCCGGAATGCTGCACGCCCGCCAGGGCCGGAGAGAGGCGAGCCCGGTTCGGACGCTCGGCAGGGCGCGTGTTCCGGGACGGGCTGCACCGGCGCTCCCTGCGGGGACCTTCCAGGGCAGGGCAGGGCAGGGCCCGCAAGTCCCCAAGCCGAGCGCCCGTTGGTATCCCCGGCCGAAAGCAGCGCGTCCTGAGGTCAGCCTTCTCTGCCATAGCGGCTTGGGGCACGAACTTACTGGGCCCGGCCCAGTGTTCCCACGTTGTAGTCTCCTGATAATGTAGAGTTTCTTTTCCTTTCTTTGCATAGCTTTACACCTTGCGTCCTCTTGCTGAGAAACTAAGGCAACTCGCATGCCCGCTTTTTATTCTCTGTGGGCCCACCAGACTTATTCGTGTTCTGCTTGGCCCACAGTGGCCAACACAGCCAATTCATGCTGCCTCCACTTAGGACTGATTAGTAAATGGTACAGGTAGTTAAGCAATGAGGACTCTTCCAGAGTGCATCTCACGGGGGGGGGGGCGGGGGGGAGACATGCACACAACAGCATCTTAGACGAGCTGGACAAGGTGCCTCATCATTGAATCCAATGCAACTCCGCCGTTTATGTTGTTATGCTTTTAGCCCTTCCAAGCTGGAACTTGCTTTGGACATTCAATGCGCATGGCTTCAGCCGTGAGGTTCCATATTAACATTCCTCACAATGTACAACTGTGCACATCCTGGTTTTTCTTTTAAGGATACTCTTAGCTGGTGTACTTTTGGACTTTAAAATCATTTAAATCATGTCACTATCAACACTACTGGAATAAAATAGAAGTTTCTTTCTGCTGCCCAGATACTGAACACAATTCTGAAGACTAATTTTCTTCTAGAAAGGGACGATATATTTGATGTTTCTTTTAATTTTGAAGAATTGTTTAATTGTAAACTTTTGTAATGTACATGCTGTATACCACCTGGTAGAAACTTCACTGTTAAAGCTAACCAAAGAATTCCATTCCAGTACTGATGGAGAGAAGAACCTGGACTATTTCATCAGCCTGGCTGAAAGACTTCATGTTTAGTCAGAGAGAAGTCCCACAGCTCCCTGCATTCCAAGGCCAGCCTGGGGGAGAAGCTGGGAGGTGCAGGGCTTACTCCTAAACATGCACAGAGTTGACCTTTATGGTTTTCTCATCCCACCCAGGCTGCGACTAAAGCACGGTAATTTACAGGGCAATCCTATCCAGGTCTACTCAGACATAAGCTTTATTTCCAAGTAATTGTGTACACCGGATGGCAAGTTTAAGGGCAACCCCACCCTGGGCATGTGCTCTGGTGTTACCCAGTAGCCACAGAGCTCAGTGGAGCACCACAAAGCACCACACTGGAATCAACGAAGAAGCCGGTGGAAGTATAGTTGGGCTTGTTTGCTCATACTCTGTGGGTATTTGCTCAGTACAAAACCGCTGTCAGCTTTCTTCTGAAGCAACCCTGCACAGGAGCTTGTCCTGAGTGCGGCCCTATTCCCACCGCTATGGGCGTCAACCCCACGGAAATGAATGGGACTCCGTTTTCGTTGCGGCAAGCGCAGTCCCGGGCAGCTTCATCAGATGATTCGACCCAGGCTTTTTTGCTGTAGCCCGTAAAAGCGCAGTGCAATGCACGTCTGGACGGGGCAAGAACATCCCAGCACTCTGAGAACTGGAGGGCTTGGGGATTTTTTCGGGTGGGGGGAGCTTCCAAGCATGCCATGGGGTGCTCCCCTCGGTGTGGCGACGGTGTGTGTGGGAAGGAGCTGTAGCGATCGAGTCCTTCAGTAGAGGGCGGTCATGTGTAGCCTCGCCTGCCTCTTCAGCTCAGCCCTGAGTCCGGAGAGGAAGAGGAGGAGGAGCAGGAGCAGGAGGAGGAAGCCGAGAGGAAGGCGGGGATCTGCCAGCGCACAGGGCGGCTGCAGCCCGCCTGCCCCTCCCGTCCAGCCAGGCGTGCAGCCGGAGGGTGTCCGGGGCGAGATTCCCGCTCGCCGGACTGATTTCCGCGCCGCCGCCCGAGCAGAGCTGGGCAGCAGAGGAAAGCCAGCCGGGGGTCACACGGGGCTCCTCGTCGCTTCCGGTATGCCTTGGGCGCTCGGTCGCGCCGTGCAGTGGCGGCGGGGGACGTGGAGACGGTGCCGCGGGCGGGCTCCCCGCATGGCTGCAGCCCGCAGCCCTCTCCCCACGCATCTGGGAGGCAGCCCCACTGAACAATAGGGCTTGTTGCTGGGGAGACACGCATGCTCGGTCAGCTGCCCCGCCTCGGCTCCCACCTGCAAAAGGGGGCAAGACAACGTGGCTGGGATCCGGGGCGCCCCCAGCAGCTCCGCCGTGCTCCTGACCCCTGCCCGATTTCGGGGGGGGGGCAGTCGGGGGGGATCCACGTTACAGGCTTGGCAAAAGCCACCCCTGGCATTGGATGCGGCCGCCCTCCCCGCGGCCGGTGCCTCCCGTTTAATGTGTAATATTAGGATAATAACCATAAGGTTATATATGACAGCGTTCTCATAAACCTCCCCCAGCTTCTTCTCCTCGCATCTGGAACTTGGGGGTGGTAACACGCGGAGAGGGACTGATTTCTGCCCAACCTCCTCCCCATCTTGAAAGAAAATATCCAGGGTGGTTTTGTGTGTGTGCACGTGTGCCCTAGCCTGTGTATGAAGCAAAAACATTAATTTACCCCATTCAAGAAGATGCGACTCAGGACAAAAGAACTGTGAATATTTGCCTTTTCTTTTCCTGTCTTTGGCAGCCAAATAGAAATCCGAGAGGGAGAGATCTGTGCATCTTTATTATAGCAAACACAAGAGAATGTCTTGGAGTTCCAAGATATGTTTCTTACCCTCCACACACTTACCCATTGACCTGAATGGAGCTTACTCCTGAACTGTTAGACTGAAATGCTAGGCACACTCACCTAGGAGTCATCTCCATGAAACACAGTAAGGCTTCTTTGTGAGCATAATCAATGTCCAGCTACTAACCTAAGTCTTACTGTATTTAATGGGGTTTACTCCTAGGTCAGTGTGCTTAGGATTGATCAGTAACAGTGCAGCTCTATGCTCATCAGAAACGAGCTCCATTCAGTTCAATGGATAAATGTGTGTAGAATTACAGCCCTAGATATATATTGTGGAAAAATCTTCCATCTACTGCAACAGGTGTGGGCAAATTGTAGCCCTCCAGAATGTTGGCCACTAATTCTCACCAGCTCCAGCCTGCACAGTCAGGGTGAGGGATCGTGGGAATCGGAGGCCAACCCATCTGGGGAGGAGCACAAATCGCCTGCTTCTGCCCTGGAGCTTCCTTCATCAAATGCAAGTATTACTTTTCGCCTGCGGCACCTGCAAAACTTCAAGCACCATCTGATTCTTGCAGATAATCCCCACTGTGTTCAATGGAAAACTCCTGGGCAGGTTTCCTGGGCTTCCACCTGTAGTGGGTTAGAACATGGGACTAGGACTCAGGCGATCTGGGTTTGAGTCCCTGCTCAGCCATAGAACTCACTGGGTGACTTCAGGCCAGTCACAGGCTCTCAGCCCAGCCGACCTCACAGGTTGTTGTAGTGAGGATAAGATTAGAAGAAGAATTATGTAAGCTGCCTTGAGTTCCCTAGAAGGAAAAATGGTGGGATATATGAGGTGTGACAAAAAATAACCGGATTAGTAATAAAAAAATATTAATTGATGAATTACAGCATTCTGAACGTGGTCACCTTCTATATACTCTCCCTCCCGATCTCCACACCGCTCCATATGTATTTTCCATTGATTGAAACAGTGCTGGAAGTCTTCTTGCGTGAGGCTCTTCAATAGGCTTGCCATCTCTGTCTTCACTTCATCCATTGACGCAAAACGTGTTCCCTTCAGGTCACTTTTGATTTTCGGGAACAAGTAAAAATCACAGGGAGCTAAATCGGGTGAATAAGGAGGATGATCAAGGACAGGAATGTTTCTTCCACTCAAACACTGCTTTAAGGAAAAAGCATTGTGCGCGGGAGTATGATGATTCTCTGTTCGATTTTCCCCTCCAATATTATCGCAGCAACACGGGTAACGAGTGTAGTTTGAATACTGACCGGGCTATTCATAGGATATACCTAGCCGGTCGGCGGTTTGATAGGGTTTGTAGGAGGAGATAAAGTTCTATGTTGTCCGTCTAGCCAACCTCCAGACGATTTTCCAGGAAAGCCCTAAGCGCAATCCAATTATTTCTGTGTCTCACCTCATATTTTGCTCATTTTGATGTGACTTCCTTCTGAGGAGATTTATCAAGACTAAGGGCTTCGTGGACTGGGGCCTGCTTCCCTAGATTCATGAAGGGTTATCTTGGGAGATTTGGAATTTATACCTTCTTTCTGGGTAATAGAATCATGACCAAGATGTGGTACACTAAAAATTAAAAACAAACTACGACCCAAGAATAGGAAATGCTCTTATACCAGGCTGAATAATTGTTCTGTCACTCTTGATATTACATATTATGCTTTCACAGGTCTCTAAAGCATGGGTCCTCAAACTATGGCCCGCAGGCCGGATCCAGCCTGCCATGCCCATTTATCTGGGCTGCCTTTTAGTTATGTGAGCCTGGGGGCAGCCAGGCCGGGGCGGCCGGTCCCACACCTGCCGCTGCCTCGCTGCACCCACGCCAGCCTTTCAACTGGCCCCATGTTAAAAGAAATTGAGGACCCCTGCTGTAAAGCATGACAGAGGGGATTTCAGTGGGTGTTATTTTCCAACATGAGAAGTTAACTGAGGAGAAAAAAACCTGTTAACGTTTTTAGCAGGGATGCGGTTGTTAAAACACACAACATGCTCTGTTTTGAAGCAATGATGGAGCATGAAGTGGCAATGGTTCCAGCATGCGTTTCTCACAACCCATTCACTCTCCCACCCAGGGACCAAGTTTGGCGACGTATTTATTTAGTTAGTTATGAAAAGCGTTTCTATCCCATTCCCTACAGAACATCTCGGGACGGCTTACAATAAATAAATAGAATAGAACAGACCCACAGCATCTGACCATAATATACTAAAACCCCAATTAAAATCAATTAAACATAAAAATAATGGGAACATAAAAAGGGGGTTGCCTGACACTGAAAATATAATGTTGGTGCCAGGCGAACCTCTCTGGGGAGCGCATTCCACAGTCGAGGTGCCACCACAAAGAAGGTCCTCCTCTGGGTACTCTGCCTCCTCATCTCCTTCAAGGAGGGCTCCCGGAGCAGGGCCTCCACCTCCGTTCTCAAGGGGCAGGAGGGCGCATAGGGAAGAAGGCACTCCCTCAGCCATCCTGACCCAAGCCGTTCAGGGCTTTATAGGTCATCACCAGCACCATAAATTGGGCCCAGACTTCAGTTGGTAGCCAGTGTAACCAGTAGAGGACCGGCGCTATATGTGAAAACCAGCCAGTCTCTATTGACATCTTAGCAGCTCTGTTCTGAGCCAATTTAAGTATCCGGTCCGTCTTCAAAGGCAGCCCCACGTAGAGCACGTTACAGTAATCCAACCGGGAAGTTACCAGACCGTGGGTCACTGTTGCCAGGCAATGCTCTTCCAGATAAGGATGCAGTTGGTGGATCAGCTAAAGCTGACAGAAAGCGCTCCTCGCCACCTGGGACTCCAGGGACAGCTCTGGGTTGAGGAGCACTCCCAAGCTGTGGACCCTGTCTTTTAGGGGGAGTGCGACCCCATCCAGGGCAGGGCCCAAGTCACTTGCCTGGAAGGCAGAACTGCCAACCAACAAGACCTCTGTCTTATCTGGATTAAGTCTCAATGCATTGGCCCTCATCCAGCCCATTACCTTGGCCAGGCACCGGTTAAGGACGGCCATTACCTCACCTGGACTAGATGTAAAAGAGAGGTAGAGCTGGGTGTCATCAGCATACTGATGACTCCGCAGCCTAAACTTCCAGGTGACCTCTCCCAGTGGTTTCATGTAGATGTTGAAGAGCATGGGGGACAAAATGGAGCCCTGAGGAACCCCATGGCATAGCTGCCATGGCACAGAGCCACAATCCCCCAGCACCACCTTCTGGAATCGGTCATTGAGATAGGAGCGGAACCACTGCAAAGCAGTGCCTCTGACCCCCAATCCCGCTAGCCTGTCCAGAAGGATACCATGGTCGATGGTATCAATATCCCACGCTCAAGTGAACTTTGGGTCCTGGTTGAAGGGTGGGTTATGGTCTTGTCTGAATGCCGCTGTGCTAACAAGCCTAGTGTGCAAATCATGAACAACCCATGAAGAAAACACAGGGCTCACTGTTGGATTCTGAAGTATGGTCTGTCCATGATCAACAAACCGTGGTTGGTTAGCATAGCGGGGTAGAGACAACCCTTGCCTCGAGGTTCAGCCACAACCCGCACACAACTCAGTCCAGGAGTGTGGGTTATAGTATTGTCCGAACCCAGCCACAGTGAGCTTTACTCCTTTACCTTTCACATTTGGAAGCTGTTCTCACTTCTCTGTTGGGGTGGGACTTTGGCAGGAGGATGGTCCCTCACTGGAGACGTTCATTGGCCAGTTGAATTCAGCCAATGGCTAGAGATCCCCCATCCCTGTTTTGGAAGGTCAAAATAAGCTAATTTACTTTAAGTGCCTTTACACTGATTTCCCACCTTCCCCCCTCTTTCAGGGAACCCAACGCAGCTTACTTAATCCTTTTCCTCCTCATTTATCCTCACAACAACCCTGTGAGGTAGGCTAGGCAGAGAGTCTCTGACTGGCTCAAAGTTACTCACTGGGCATCATGGCTGACCAGGGACTAGAACCCAGATCTTTGGGGTCCCAGGGCCCCACCCCCACTGTTGCCCCACACTGGCTCTTCATGACAGGCTTGAGCATGCAATTGCCTGGGCGGAATTTCCTCCTATCCTTTGCTTCCTGCCTTCTCTGTTTATGCCACAGCACAGGCATCGAAATATGCTCATTCTCTGCTTTCTCCCCCTGTCAAGCCCACCCTGGATAAACCATCAGAGGCTATAGAAAGGGAACTTAGTTACAAAGGACTTCCCTAAGGAGTAGTTGTTAAGAGATAGGTCCAGGAGGGAGATGGCTTTCCAGAACTTGGTCAGCTGCTAGAAGTGAATGATGTAATGGAACACGCGCTGTTTACTGGGATAAACAGTAAACAGTTTCTGTTTTCCTCTTCATCCTGCTTGAAGGAAAGCATGTTGCTTAAGACTTCCTGTCTGTCTACTTATTTAATTAGATGTATTTCTATCCCAGCTTGTAGCATACAAACTACTCCATTCCAAAACAGTTTGCTCGTGACAATCATTCATAAAATCAGAAGAAACATTCTTAAAATTAATTTTGATTGGTGGGGGGATTAACTCATGTTTGAAGGGAGAGTTGAACAAGGGACATAAAAGATTGTGAGCCACCTAGAGATGCTTTGGTGCAATAGATGGCATATAAATGTTTTAAATAAATAAATAATGGGTTAATCTTGTAACCACGTTCTCTCTCCTTGAACACTTATGGGGGGAGTTGGATCCAGGTGGTGGAGCCCCTGCTTCACATGCTAAAGGCCCCAAGTTCCAATCCCCCCATTTCCAAGCAAGGGTATGGTGGAGGGGATCCTTTGGGAGTTGGACTGCCCCCACATATTTTGGAGGGGGCCTTCAGGGGGGTCGCTGGATCCCTGAAGTCACCATCACTGTTTCCTCCCCACACCTCTCAAGAGACTTAATTTTGCTGGTTTGTGGCTGACAGATGCTATGGTGTTGGAGTCCTGAATTTAACAGGTTAAGAGCGGAGGTGTCTTTTGGGATGGATTAATAGAAGTATTACTTCCAAATCACTAGAAGTAGTAGTTCCCTTTTACTCCTCATTAGTCAGACTACATCTGGAATACTGTGTCCAGTTATGGGCACCAAGATTTAAGAAAGATGCATGAAAGGGTTCAGAGGAGGGCAAGAAAAGTGATCCAGGGTTTGGAATCACTGCTCTTTTAGGTGAGACTGGGAGAACTGGGCATGTTCAGCCTTGGGAAGAAAAGCCTGAGGAGGGACATGATATTTTTATTTATTTATTTATTAATACATGTTATTTATTAATAACATTTTTATGCCGCCCCATTCGCCGAAGCCTCTAGAAGTACCTCGAGGGCTGTCACAAAGAGGAAGGTCAAGATCTCTTCTTGCTAATGCCAGAGTGTAGGACACGGAATAATCAGTTCAAGTTGCAGCAACCCAGATTCAGGCTAGACATCATGAAAAGTTTCCTTGCTGTCAGAGTAATTTAGCAGTGGAACCAGCTGCCTAGAGAGGTGGGGGGCTCTCCCACACTAGAGATATTCAAGGGGAAACTGGACAGCCATCTGAGTGGGATGGTGTAATGTGGTGTCCTGCAACAGCAGGGGGTTGACCCAATGGCCTTCATAGCCCCTTCCAACTCTCCTATGATTCTAGGATTCCAGTTTTAAAAATCATTCATTCATAATAAATAAGACATAACTTCTAAAAGCTGAAAAAGAGATACCCTCATCTTGCATTCATTACTCAACAGAAATTCAAAGAAAGCGACAAAGCTCATTTTTATTGCATAATCACAGGTTACATAATCTTGGAATTAGGTGGGACTTTGAGGCATGGCTCTGACTATCATGAAGGAATTTCCCCCGCTTCTAAAGTTCCCACCACACCACTGTCTCCAAGTAGAGCTGGAAAAATTCCTGCCTGAGCTTTTGCTGCCGGTCTGTGTGGACAATGCTGAGTTAGGTGGCCCTCGGGAGCCTCTCTCTTCCTATGCTCCTTGTGGTGTACATAGAAGCATTTCATACTGGGATTTATGAGAACATATTTTTGAGGACCACTGTCTAAAGTACATGTTCATCTCTATGTTTTAACCATCCCATTCCATTGGTCTCTCTTTTTACTAGGATAAAAACCCCTCCTCTTTAGCTCCAGCAATGCTCCCTGGCAGCCTCTGACGACTGCAACTCTTCCATTCCCATGTGAATCTCACTAGCTTTGAGTCACACACTCGGTTGATCGAAGATCAGCTAAGAAGGCAGAATTCCTGTAACTTCCTCCGTCATCTGTGATTCTGGCGAGACTTCCGAGGATTGAAAGCAAACCTTGTCAGGCAGTACCCAACATTCCTGAAGGCATCCTGCTTGCTCTTCCCTTTTAGCATTCAGAAGCAGAGTCAGAAGAGAAAAGTGATGAAGGAGAAAATGTCTGCGAGGGCCCGATCAGAGGAAGGACCAGAACAATCAAGAAAGGCCATTGGTGCAGTTCATCTTGGGTATGTGGCTGAGCAGCCAGGCTGGGGGATGCTGCAAGTGGGCAAAGGGGAGCCGTCCAAGGGGATGCAACAGCACTGGGAAGCCCAATGGCAGGAGTTCCTGAGGACATTGCAACCTATTCACCCGGGGTGGGGAAACCCAGGGATGCCAGAGGCCGCCCCCTGGGAAGATGGCAAGGCCTTCCTGGCCTCCTTCGAGCAGGTGGCCAAGGCCTGCCAGTGGCCTAGAGGAGAGTGGGCGGCCCGGCTCTTGCCAGCACTGAGCGGGGAAGCCGAGCAGGCCTTTCAAAGCCTGGAGGCCAGAGAACAAGGAGACTATGGGAAAGTGAAGGCCGCCATCTTGCGAGGGGAGGCCCTGAGAATGGAGATGCAGCGCCAGCACTTCCGGCAGTTCCGTTGCCAAGAGGTGGAAGACCCTCGAAGGATTCACAACCAAGTCCAGGAGCTGTGCCGGCAGTGGCTGAAGCCGGAGCGGCACAGCAAGGAGCAGATCCTGGAGCTGCTGATCCTGGAGCAGTTCCTGGCCAGCCTGCCGCCCGACCTCCAGGGCTGGATCCAAGCAGGAGGGCCGGACTCCTGTTCCCAGGCGGTGACCCTGGCAGAGGACTTCCTGATGGGCCAGCAGGAGGCCAAGACAAGGAAATGGCAGGTAAGGCTTTAACACTCAATCCCCAAAGTGTGTAACAGGACACAGAATGTGAATTAATTTGTTGAAACCGGTTCCAGTTGCTTAGTTATAAATGGAATTGATAACAAACAGGAGAGGCTAAAGAATTCTGAATGAGCCAAATCCTATTCTTTATGATGAAAGAGCCTTTATGATGTTATGAAGAAACGCTCCAAGTGAATAAAGTTCCACTCTTCTATAGTACCGCACATAATACCTGTATCTTTGCATTATTAGATGCATTCATTGTCATCATCACTCTCAGCATTATTATTTACTATAGTTACATCCCACCTCACTGCAACCTATTCCAAGTCAAGATTTAGTTAGAGTTATTTATAATAAACAACAAAATAATAATTGAAAGATATACAAAATACCTAAATAATCTAAATAATAAAATATATGCAATAAATAAGCAATAAAATATTGAAGACCCAGTAGTAAAAGTTGTAAACCGAATAACAGATTAAAAATTAAATACCTGCTAGAAGAAGGTCTTAATCTGCTGCCTAATTGTATACAATATGTAAAGAACTAGATATCATATATTATAAAATATCGAATATTTAAAAATTTGTGAGAAGTGATAGTTAGACACATGAAGCTATTACAGTTGTTCTCAGAAATTAGTCGTGATTCACTGTCATTGAATTCATCATCTCTGTTTCTTAATCATGAAGCCTCAATATTCTCTGATATTTCTTTTCTCTATGATTCTTCTTTGCTCTGTGAGTCTTCTACCAGTTTTCAGTTTGTCAGAACCTTTAAGGGTACAGTCCAATGCATGTTTATACAAGAAACTGTCCTATAACTGAGCTGTCCCCTCACTCAGCATGGCTGCCAGGCGAGTACTGGGAATTCTGGGACGTTATTTCTGTCCAAACATGTGAAGGATATTCCCTAAAATACTTACCTCTCTCATCGTCACAATGCAAGGTTGATTGAAGTTGACATATTTTATTTCAACTACGGCAATGGTTCCTTTAAGAGATCCATAATGGGTTAAAAATCCACAGATACGGTTTTGGCAGGATGTAGATGCTATGATTGTGAGAGCATTGCACATCTTAAAATTCTCGGCCTGTGTTTTCAGGGAGAGGGCCACAAAACACAGAAACAGAGCAAGTCAGAAGGGGTCTCCCGGGCCATCTAGTCTGACCCCAGGCTCCAGCCGGCTCCTCTCATGCCCACCATGTGCATGCCCAGCCTATCCTTGAACACCCTCACTGATGGGGCTTCAACCACCTTCCATGGGAGCCCATTCCATACTCTGGGCGTCCTAAACATCAGGAAATACTTCCTGGCATCCACCCTAAATCTTAGATCCCTGAGCTTTGCTCCATTGGAACGCGTCCTGCCCTCCCCTGCAGGGGGGAAAAGGTTGTGTCCTACATCTGCGTGTCACCGCTTCACATACCTGTACGTCGCTAACTCTGAGTCTCCTCCTTTCAAGGCTGAAAAGACTGAAAAGCAGTTATCTCATGAGACCCTGCCACACGAGAACAGTCGTTTCAGCCATATCCTGACTGGGATCGTCCTCTCTGTTTCAGGGATCAGTGAAGGAAGAGTGTGAAGATTCCCTGAATACTGAGGAAGAGCCTCTCGAAGCTGTGAAAGGACAGATGTATGAAGAAGCCAAGGGAAACAGTGATGTGGAGATCAACATTCTGGGTAAGATTGCACTTCATGGTAAAATATTCTGCCACTTTTTTTAGTGCAATGGGAATCACAGGCTGCACTAAGAATGCACAGATATTTTAGGAAATCCATTCCATTTATGTTTTGTGTTTTGCAGATTGGACTCATGTTTGTTTAAACCAGAATTTCATTCTCCTTGCTCTCATTCATCTTGGTGCTAATGCAGATTATCCAATATGGTTTCGTTCATTTGTGTAAATGAGCATTAGTGCAAATGGAAATCAGCAAATCTCCCCACCCTTGGGGAAGAATGGTCTACAAGTCTCCAGAATCTGGTTGATTCGGAGAAGGTGGTTCTGCCATGGAACTTACAGGGCAGAATCGCAATACACCAAACTCATTCAAATCCATTGTGGATTTCTTCGATACTCCCTTGCTGAAAAGTAGGGCCAGCCCTCTCACATCAGCCTCTTGCAAGAGCTGCAAGATGTTTGGCATCTTTCTACATCTGTTTGAATATGCCAGACCTTAGAATATTAATCAACGGGCACCTCCATATCTTTCAACAGCGTTCTACATATCTAAGACTCCTGCCAACCCAATACTTCTGTCTTTCTCCTGACCAATTTCCCCTACAAAATTCAAGCAGTTTTACTATAAGATCATTGAAACAAACTGTGAAAGACCAGACCTGCTAAATCCAAACTGAGCTCCTTACAGTATCTCAGCTGCCCTGCATATACTGAGGGCAACCTCATCTCTTGTGCAACAGAATTTTGAACAAGGCCCAACAAGGAAAGCAAAGCGAGTATTTCCAGCAACCATTGGTTTTATTTGCATGTATTTATTTAGAGTATGTTTATCCGCCACAAGGACCCTTCAGAGCGGCTTATAAAGAATCAGTTCCTGCTCATGGGTGCATATTCTGAAAGACTTGGCGCACAAGGAAAAATAATGGAGACGGAAGATAGGAAAAACCATGTCTTTCAATTGGGCAGGTGAATGCTCTGCTTCTCCTCTGATTCTGTCAGCACAGGACTGGTGGTGGTGACGACTGATGGAGAAGGAGCCTTTTCGGGGTTGGGGATACAATGGGAAGACAGGAGTCTTGAAACTAACTATTGTGAGCCCCAGGGATGCTGGGGCAGACTAGTTTCCCCTCTGAAATCTTTTTTCCATCTTTGTAGGGAGTGGAATCAAATGCCCAAGACTTTCTAGCTCATCTTTCCCAGCCGAAGGACAAGAAAGGTGCCAAACAGGTCTCAGAGAAGTATGTGACATTCTGGGGAGATGGGTTGTTCTGTGCAAAGTTGGGGTATTTAGTATCCAAGGTAATGCATATACTCTTGACAACCCATATAGTCAGTTCCTTATTCATTTATGTATCGTGTCTCTGCTCACCGTGTCTGTCAGACCGATGTATAATATAATTCAGACAAGTCACAACAAAAAAGTAGAACATTGTTTAAAAACAGGCCAAATCCAATTTTAAGAGTCAATGGCTTAGCAAAGCAGCTTTTTTTTTACTACTTTTCTCCAACTCAGTAGGAAGCTTGACGTTCTGTGAGAAGGATGCCAATTTGAGGTGCTTCTACAGCCTGTCTTCTGTGCCCATCATCCTAACTTTGTGTGGTGGCGGGACACATCACGGGGCCTCTGGTGGAGATCTCATTATGAGCAACCCCTGAAGGGAAGGGATCTGAGTTACCCTGTCCCTGTCATTCCAATCTCAAACCTTGGATTGGGCTCCAAGCAGCCTGGAAGCCACTGCAGGCAATTCAGAACTGATGATATGCAGTCTTTAAAGGGCATACTAGCACCAGCTGCAGTTAGTTTTCATGGTTTTCAGGAGCAGCCCTGTGCATTCAGGACATTAAGACATCTGAATGAAAGATAATTAAGGCATGGATCACTGTGGTGTCAGTCAGTCAGTCAGTCATTTATTTGTTAGATTTATATCCCACTTTTTTCTTACAATCTCAAAGTGGCTTACATCACTCCCTTTCTCTTGCTGCCAATCTTATCCCCACAACAACAGCCCTGTGAGGTAGGCTGGGCTGAGAGTCTGTGACTGGCCCAAAGTCACCCAGTTGCCTCCATGGCCAAGTGGGGTCTAGAACCCAAGTTGCCAGAGTCCCAGTCTCGCGCTCTTAGCCACGACACCACACTGGCTCCTAGGTCTTCCCCAGGGCAAAAGCTGAGCAAAGGTGACCCTCATGATAGCAGTCAGTGGGCCCTTCAGAAGCAATGAGCAACCTAGGAGGACTCCCAGTCTTCAGACTGGTCCTTCAGAGCCCCATTCGGAAAAGTTGGCACCTCCAATCCCTGGTTAAATTGTCTCCTCACCAACAGGACATCAGCTTTGCCTAGGCAGAGCCTCAGTCTGTTCACCCACATCCAATCCCTCACAGGATCTAGGCGCCTGCTCAGGACTTCTTTAGCTTCCATTGATAAAAGAACATGAGAGAAAGAGAATGAGAGAGAGAGAAATAGCAAGACCCAACCCAAAACTCTGATTTCCAGAAGCTTCATGAACATGTTAAGAGGCACAGAAGACAATATTGCATCCCAGGAAGCCCCATAAATGAATGGCTACAAGGCTGAACCACAGTCCTCCAGCACCACCAGCCAGATAATGGCCAGCAGTGCAGTGCCTCCAAGTCCTAACTCAGCCAGTTAGCCCAGAAGAGTACCAGGCTTGGTGGTATTGAATGTTGCCATGGGAAGTTCTAAGCTGTAGTTCTTAGCCTTGGGAAAAGAAGACATTGGAGGAGCACTCACTCAAGAGGCAGTCGGACAGCCATCTCTCAGGAAGCTTTAACAGGGTGTCCTGCCTGGAGCAAGGGCCAGACTGGGTGGCCTTTCAGCAGTTATGAAATGGCTTCTTTTAGGGGGATGGGAGCATAACCGTCTTTCAGAGATGCTTTTGCAGCCTCCAGCACCCAACTGGCCAGGGCTTCTTTGGCAGCGCTTCTCACCGGGGATGGACATGGGGCTAATGAACAAGTAGCTGGTGTGACGCCTCATGCCACCCACATCTCCTTCAGGCCTCCAGAGGTCGGCCTAGACTGCAAGCTGCGTGGGACATGCGTATGTTGAAGTAGGATTATGTGTCCAAGCAGCCAGAGCACCAGACTAAATGTTGCAAACACTGACCTGCCTTCTCAAATTCGGGACAGCACAGACCAAGCATGATGAATATAATGGTTTGAAGTTTTGACTGCATGAGTGATAATTTTGCTGTCACTGTTCCTTTCCAGAGCGAAAACTGATGAAGAATGGTGGCTTTCTTTTTTCCTTTTTGCAGGGAGCTGTGAACGTCAAGGAAACGGGTGTATATTTGCAGATAGTCAAGCAGAGTTTGACCCAGCCAGGCCAACAGACCATGGTATGGCAAGTCCTGCAGGAGGATGGTGGAAACATGGGCTCTTTGGGTAAGGACCTCTTCTACTCGTGTTCAGTAAATCCAGTCTGCTATTTGTAAAGCGAAAATCTTGATAGAGAGAAGGACAATGGAGGTGGAAGGCATATTTCAATTTCTAAATACTTGTGTCTGGAAAAAATGACATAAATGGAGCTGAATTCATTTCCAAAAATAGGATATTTGTTTGGACTGTTACACATGGGAGACGTGGGCTTTTTCTGTAATGTTGGTGGACATACAGTGGTGCCTCGGCTCACGCACACCTCAGTTCACAACTAAATTGGGTCGCGAACAGAAATTTCATGAAAATTTTGCCGCAGGTCGTGAACTCCGCATCGGGTGATGATCGCAATCGTGCCCGCCTTCCCTGCACAGGCGCGATTGCAGTCATGCTGGGAGTGGGGAGATGGCCAAGTTTGTGATGGCGGGGAGATGGCTGTATTTGCGCCTGTGTTCCCTGCTTGAGCGCATGCCAGCCACACACGCCTGCGCATGCCTCCCCCCAGCACACCCGAGATCGTGCCCGTCTCCCCCCACCCCCCGCACAATCGTTGGTGGGGGGGGGGAAGGCCACAATCTTTGTTGTTCTTTGTCACTTTGCTTCAAATTTTTGTGCATAAAAAAAATAGTTGCAGAACAGATTAACCTTATTTACATTGACACTTATGGGGAAATTTGACTTGGATCACGACCAATTTGGGTCGCGACCAGAGATGTGGAACGGATTAAGTTCGTGAGCCGAGGTACCACTGTATGAGTAGGTTTGAGATGTAAGTAAAATGGCACCTGCACCACAAATATCCTGGTAGTGATAATTCCATTATAGAGTTCAGAAGAACGTGTGACGATGCCCATGGACTGGTCCATCTGATCCAGCGTTTTGCTTCCCACAGTGGCTAAACAAATGTCTGCAAGCACATTGTGCCTCACCAGAAAGCAGAATGCAATAGCATCTTGCCTCTCCACAGATTCTCCATGACTCACAGCCACTGGCAGAGATGCCTTCCACAAATCTGGCCGATTCTCCTTTAAAGTCACCATCACATTCTGTGGTTACAAGTACCATAAATCTGTCAGGCATTGTATGAAGAACCTGCTTTGATCTGATGTGCCTCTTCTAAACATCCCAAGACTCAAATTTCACTATTATGAAAGAGAAGAAAGCACTTGTTCTGCATTTTTCACATCCTGCATTCAGAAGACTCGACAAACCAACATGGATTTGACTACCCCTAGAGCAAGCTAGGGGTTGTCAGGATGGCTTGTTGCCCCCAGATAAGCCGCCCTGTAAGAAGCAGTTGGAATTTGGAAGACACCGAAATCTACTGTGGCAAATTGCCCACGATGGGCTGCCATGTTGCGCAAACCTAGTTTTGGTGAGCTGAGATGCACCACCCACATCTCACCTAGACCAGAACAAAGGCATTTAAAAGAATAAACATTTACTTATATAACAGGATAACATTCAGAATCAAGTATCTGTCAAGTAGTGGTAATAATTGTTCTAAACATCTAACACAATAGATGCTTCCACTGTTTTTTATTTTGTTTATTTAAAATATGTCTAAGGCAGCCTTTCAGGGCAGAGGCCCTTGCAAGCCTTCTCTCTCCCTTCTCGTTCATACCTCTAATTCCACTGGGGCCCAGTTGGACGTCTCTCTGGACAGAAAAAATTCTGTGCAGTTCCCAGCATTCCCCAGTTGGTCATGCTGACTAGCTTTCTCTGTCCTCAAATTCCTCTCACGGTCTCTATTACGACCTCTCTCTATTACTTAACTCCCTTTCCTTGACAGAATCTGTTTCTGTCCTCCGTCAGATTTTAACAGCTGTCACATTCTCTACCTACTATTCCATTTCACTTTGCCTGTCATTCACTTTGGCCAGGACGTCTCCAATTATATTGTTTTATGGTTAATATGTATTTATTTATTGTTGTGAGCCGCCCTGAGGCTTCGGCAAATGGGGTGGCATAGAAGCTTGCTAAATAGATAGATAGATAGATAGATAGATAGATAGATAGATAGATAGATAGATTTGTGGTGATTCCCGGTCATGCTCTTCTGATACAGCTCCTGGGTTGAACAGAATGGTACCCACAGTATCAAATACAGGCATACCATAGATTTGCGTTATGATACCAGCACTTTTAACTAAAAGTTGTTCGAGAACATACAGCTTTACAAAAACAGAGAATAAACCACACAAAGGCAATCGCCAAGGTATTCCTCAGATCTTCAGAATATCTACATTTTAGTCTATATTTATGACTACTTCGCTTTTTATTCCAGTATAACAAAACTTTATCCTCAGGTTTTAAATACCCTTTATTCTGCCTTTCCTATATAATTATAGATATATCAAGACCTTTTTATTTACCCAATATTTTAATGTTTAATAGATTTTAATTATTTTTATTTCAGTCGTAGGTTATTTAGTTTTATCATTGTTGGGGTATTTATGATATGATGATGATATTTATATTTATACTGTTGTATTTATTGATTTTGTTGCGAGCCATCCAGAGACTCAGAGTGATTGGACAGCCTAGAAATATCCCAAATAAATAAATAAATATTAACTTCTAGTGCCTAATATCCCACCAGTATTTCTGATGAATCATTGCATGTCTTTCTTCTGAAGTCTTCCTAGTTCTCAGATGCCTTGCAGTTCTGTGGGAGAGTTTTGAATGTGGCAGCTGGTTCCTTCTTTTCAAAATAAACAAACTTTGTAGACTTTTTCTTTCGTTTGGACACAGTAAATTATTTAATATATTTTTAAAGTTTTGCTTGGTGCTCTGCAATTTAAAAACCACAGTCCCATATAAAAGGAACAAGTGATCAGTATCATAAGAGACAGAAAGGGGGATGTAGCAGAGGAAAACGGAGTAGAAGGAAAACACATGCTATTCTTTCTGTTCTTGCAGGTGATGAAAATGGAAGTCAGGTCAAGATGGAGCATTCTCAGTGTGCAGGAAATGAGCCAGAGGAGACACCCCGGATGGTTGCACAGATCAGCCAAGTGAATGTATTGGAGGCAGCAGAGATGCAGGAGGAAGGACACCTGTCTAAAGGGGGACAAGGGGCACAGCCAGTAGGGAGAGAGAATCGCTGCAATGAGCTCGCAGGAGACTTTCCAGCTGCAATTAGCCACCCATTTGAAATATACACAAAAGAAAACATGTCCTTGTTCTCCAAGTATGGCAGAAAATATTGCTGCAGATCAGAACTTGAGATGATGCACAGTGTGGAGGGCCGTGATGAATATCCCATGTCAGAGGAAAACCTCCAGCAAAACTCGTATTTTGATCAACCTCAGAGAATTATAAAGGGTGAGGGTGAGCTCTCCGATTACGGGGAAGGACATATCATCAGCCATCAGAGTAACCACACCGAAGAGAAACCTAGTAATTCTCCTGAGTGTGGAAAGAGCTTTAGCTTTCAAAAGTCACTAAAGAGAAGTCAAGGAATTCAAAGTGAAGGAAAACCATATGAATGTTCACAGTGTGGGAAGGTCTTCAGTCAGCGAGAACGTTTGAAAAATCACCTGCAGCTTCATACTGGAGAGAAACGGCACGAATGTCCCGAGTGTGGGAAGAGGTTCAGTTCTAAAGAGGTATTAACAAGGCATCAGAGAATTCATACTGGGGAGAGGCCACACAAATGTCCCCAGTGTGGGAAATGCTTTAGTCAGAGAGGTGACCTGAAACGACATCAGAGAATTCACACTGCAGAGAAGCCGTTCAAATGTTCCCAGTGTGGGAAATGTTTCAGTCGGAAAGAACCTTTGCAGAAACATCAAAGAATTCATACAGGAGAGAAACCGTACGAATGTTCTCACTGTAGGAAGTGTTTTGGTCGCAAAGAACATTTGATGAACCATCAGCAAGTTCACACTGGAGGGAAACTACACGAATGTTCTCAGTGTGGGAAACGGTTCACTTTTAGAGAAGTATTAACACGACATCAGAGAATCCATACCGGAGAGAAGCCGTATGAATGTTCCCACTGTGGAAAATGCTTCAATCAATGTGGTGATATGAAAAGGCATAGAAGAATCCATACAGGGGAGAAACCCTACGAATGTCCTGAGTGTGGGAAAAGCTTCAGTCGGAGAGAACATCTGAAGGATCATCAGAGAATCCATACAGGAGAGAAACCATTCAAATGCATAGAGTGTGGGAGAGACTTTTCCCGGAGAGATATATTAATCAGGCATCAGAGAACTCATTGGACAGAGACCTTATGAACGCTCCTACATGGCTTTTCTGAAAAATGAGACACAGGTGTTCTAGTTGCACCAACCCACCACCATCTAAACTGGACTGCCACCAGATTCTGTTGTTACAGAATCACCTTTTGCAAAACTTCTGTAGCCTCCAGATCAGCAGGTGGGCAGCCAGAAGCCATCTCTCCAGAACCTCTAGCTGCTGTCCCCTATTAGCCATAAATAGGTTAAATTCTAGCCACAAAGTTTGCATAGAATATATCAGTTTATTAATATCCAATGAGCCAGTTTAGGCTATGATCCTAAGTGTTTATTACGACTATTATTATTACACTTATATTCTGCCTTTCTTCTTCCTGCAAGGAACCCAAGTGGCTTACAAGGTTCTCCTCTCCATTTTATCTTCAGAACAACCCTGCCGAGAATCTGTAACTGGTCCAGAGCTGCCACACCACGCTGCCCATTGCAATATAAAACTTGTTCAGGTTTAATAAGGCTTATATTTATGAGTAAGCCTGTTGGACAGGGGCATTCCTGGCTCCTATAATGACTTGTGTGTATATGCAGGTGTGCACTGACATACCCTCCCGCCCTGATTTGACTCAGATCCCAATTTGGTGCTTTCAAAAATATCCCACTGCTGCTCAGACCTGTTTGGAATCAGCCCACTTTGATGTGGTCCTAGTCCCATGTAAAGGTCTGGAAAACCAAGATTTTGTGTTTCTAGTTGATTACCGTGGGAAATAAGAAAAGCGTTATAGTTCTTTGCTCTTGGTTGGAATTATTATTATTATTATTATATTTCTATACTGCCCATGGCTGAAGCTCTCTGGGCAGTTCACAATGTTGAAGTCCCCCATCCAGTTTTCAACCAGTCCTGACCCTGCTTAGCTTCCAAGATGAGACAGCATCAGACAGTTCAGCCTATATGGAATTGGATGATGGTTGCAGGCACAGTAACTCCTTAGCGCAGCCAGAACACCTGGGAATTAGTTCGCAACCCCGAAGCTACTCACACCTTGATTGCGATATTTCTGCTATGAGCAGACCTCTTTACTGCCCTAAGGTCGGAAATGCCCAGTCCTTCAAAATCCTCCAGAAAACTAGTCTGGAGACAAAAGGACTCTGCTTCAATTGTTTTATGCTTCCAGAGTCACCATTTAGGAGGCAAGATCGAATCCAGAAGTGGGGCAGGTGCCCAGTCAACCTCCATTAGGCAAGCTGTGTGCAGGCTGTTTGATTCCCTCCAACAATGGACTTCTTTAATTTGAAATAAAATTTATCGCTTCATCAACAGTGGGACATTTCGGGGATGCCACTTTTTCTTATAAGGTCTAAAATGTTCCCTAGGATATGCTTCCCGCTGCTGACTCTATTAGTAAAGAATTACCCTGTAGAAGGAACATTTGGCATCCCCTCTTACTGCCCTTCTCTTGTGGAGAGAAGATGCCGTTCATGCAGATACATCTCCTGTTTTGGAATGAAGATACTTCGGTGCTTTTTTCATTTTGTTAATATGATTCATTTTGTTAATAAAACTTGTACATTCTAATATTGTGGTGAGTCAAAACAAGTACTCAAATTTGGTACATTCTGCTAATACTGTGGTGAGTTGAAACCAGTACTCAAATTTGTCCACTCAGTTCTCTTTAATAATGCACCGTTTTCTCAGTATCATAAGCTATTCCATTTTCATCCCACCCCTCTTCCAAGGTGCTTAGGGTGGTGTGCACGGTTCAATGACTCCACCATGGCTACCAGTCCACAAATAGCTCACCTGTCTTGTAGAGTTAACGGGTTCCATTAACTTGAGCATCTGTCTTTAACAGCAGGGAGAAAGAATTGGCAGGTGAAGCTTTTCGGAGCATGGAAACATAACCTGTACCCTCTATTGCAAGTCAAAATATGGTTAAAACTGGCAAATATTTCCTATATCAACTTGTGGTTCTCCAGATGTTTTGGCCCTCATTTCTTCTCATCACTGTCTTTGCAGGTAGAATTTGTAGCTCCAAACGTCCGGAGATTCACCAGTTGCCCCCACATATGCCAGTGCTGATTAATGGAAAGATCCTATGGGGTTCTTATAGTTAGGTGATCAAACCAGGGTTTAATTATCAGGTTTGCTTGCAAAAATGCCTTCTGGTACCCATTCTTACATCTCAGTGGGCTTACCTGGTGGCTGCAGCAGGCCTCTGAAGCAGTACCAAGTTGGAATGAATTGTCATTTTCATTTCCAACAGTGCCCCAATAGAGTGTTGCTCCATGGCATTCTGGGAAATTAATGGCAGCTCCTAGATCCATTTTAAATGGGGCCTATGCCATGTCTTAATTAGTGGGCTCTGCTGGAGGGCAGGGAGTCAGCAACTGTGCAATGAAACTGACTGGGTGAGCAAGGGGAGCGGGGAGCAAAGTGTGTTGTGTGAAACCCACTCCCTTCCCTTGGGGTGGTTTATAAGCCACCAAGCATCCAAAAACTTGTTCGAGGGTTGGTAAACCCTCCGTGGCTTAGTGTGTTGTCCAAATTTGGATGATGTGCTAAGTCACCTTTAAGCCAAAGCCCCTTGGCCTCTGAATCCAGTTCTCCAGCCAATTCCAGATCCATCTAATAGAAATGCCATCAAGTTCCCACTTAATTAGCTTCCTGTCAGAATATCATGGGGCACATTTTCCTAAGGAAACTACCGTATTTCCCCGAAAATAAGACCTAACTGGAAAATAAGCCCTAGCATGATTTTTCAGGATGCTCGTAATATAAGCCCTACCCCCAAAATAAGCATCAGTTAAGATGGTCAACCAGACGGACACATTTAGTACATCAACACATGATGGACATATTGGATTATAAAATAATAATATTAATATATAATTAGATATAAATAGATAAAAGGTATGCTGTGAGCCGCCCCAAGGCTTTGTTGCGATGGGGGCGGCATAGAAATGTTTTAAATAAATAAATAAAATTATTGAGATTAATACTTAAGATAAATGATAATATAAATTATAATTAAGTATTTGTAAATACCCAAGCGGGCAGCTTTGGACAAGAGGTAAACACTTATGTAAACAGATGGACTCAAGACTTACTGCCAAATGACCAGAGTACCTGCACAATGCACAAACAACAGATGTGTTTCATAATTCAATACGTCATGTGTTGTAACAGACGTACCTATGCACTTGTGTGTTGCCACTCTGTCTCGTAAGTCTACAGTTAACACTTGATTTATAATATTAAATATTTTGACCCCCAGATAAGATGAGTGCAAAAAGAAAGAGCTATTCCATCCAGTACAAGAAAGGAATTATGGAGGACTCTCGGGGCAAGACTCTTACAGCTTTTGTAAGAAAAAATTTATTTTATTTATTTATTTATATCCTGCCTTTTTCCTACAAAGGGCTCATGGCAGCTTACATCATTTTCCTCCTCCATCTTATCCCAACAACAACCCTGTGAGGTAGGTTGGGCTGAGAGTCTGTGGCTCAAAGTCACCCAGGTGGCTCCATGGCTGAGCGGGGACTAGAACCCAGATTGCCCGAGTCCCAGTCCCATGCTCTTAACCACTACACCACACTGGCTCTCAATAAGACATCACCTGAAAATAAGCTCTAATGAGTCTTTTGGAGCAAACATTAATAGAAGACCCAGTCCAGGGGTCGGCAACCCGCGGCTCTGGAGCCACACGTGGCTCTTGAATCCCTCTGCTGCTGCTCTGTCGCTCAAAACAGGCGTGACAGCCGCCGATCTACCACCGAGGCTCCGAGTTACAAAATACCAATCGGTGATGATGAGGCTTCCACCCAGGAACGCCCTGCTAGCTGGTTAAGTAAATTGCGACTTTCCTCTGCTATTGTGCAGGGAAAGAGTGGAACAAGCTTCCTGCAGGCTCTCACTTTGCACAAAACAATGCTGAAAGGATTCTCTTCCTCCCAATGTAATCTCCTTCCTCTGAATGATAAAAGCTGCACTTGGGACCTGTCACAATTCACAGCACTTGACTGTTTATCTGGTAATCAGTCACTAAACGCACCTATATTTGCAACCCGCGCCAATTTACTGAGCTTCCCTCCTCCCCACCAAGGCCAACCATGGATAAATCAAAGAAAAGAAAAGTTTCTGAAGAAAACCGAAGATTCATTTGCTTTTACTGCTGACGAACTTCTGGGGTTTGCTGTTTAATGCATGCAGCCCTTTAGCACTGACTTTGACTCTGCAGGAAGCAGTTCTCCTATTCAAAATATATGAACGGAGTCCTACTAGTTTATAATGCAAGGTTAAAAATAACCGTTCTTAGTGACTGAACAAGAGCTGCAGCTAAATCATAATGAAGATATAGATCTACTTCCTTGTTTTAAGAAGATTCTTATAAAAATTCCAGTGACATTATCACATTCGGAGAGGGATGCTTGTTCAATATTTCACCAGACTATTATTTATATTTGTTGTATTGCAGAAACTCTACTTTATATGAAAGTATCAGTTAGTCCTTTTTTTATCCAGGACACGTGATAAAAGGATGAGGGCACACAGAAGCAGAAAGCATTTTTGGTTTGCTGCCGGTGGCGTGTTTGGTTTGCTGCCGGTGGATAACTTATTTTTTATCATAAATACGAGGAGGATTCAGATAGACATTGACTATTTTATTTGAAACTAACCTTCAACCCGGCATCTTTTTTTTCGGAGTTCAAAATGTTTTAGTTGCATGCAGAAATAAAAAATTGTTTTCTCTGTAGCAGTTCATTGATTTCATAAATGCAACACACTATAGTTTTTTTATACATAGCATAAAGGTAAAAAACGATATACGCAGTGTTATCTTCATTTTAGATGTCAAAAGGGTTTTGTGGCTCCCGGTGTTTTCTTTTCTGTGGGAAATGGGTCCAAATAGCTCTTTAAGTGTTAAAGGTTGCCGATCCCTGACCCAGTCTTATTTTTGGGGAAACATGGTACCCAAAGGAAAAAAGATCAGTTTGGAAGGACATATGGACAAGCCTTCCAGCTTCTGCTGGTTGCTGTACTCCTGTTAAGGTACATAGAGAAGTACAGCTTTACAGTCTGCTCTGGAATGTTATTATTATTATTATTTTATTATTATTATTATTATTATTATTATTATTACATTTCTATGCCGCCCCTTGCCGAAACCTCGGGGCGGCTTACAACACAATAAAATACATTGAAATACAATAGTACATAATAAATTACCATTAAATAAAAAATACAAAAAATACATTGATTTACAAATATAAAATTATCAGTATAAAATAAGTAAATAAAAATATAGGAGGAGAAAGAGAAGGAAGAAGAAGTTGCCCTGGCCAGATCATATGTTTTAACAATTAAAATGATGTTTAAATAAAAAGGTCTTTACCTGGCGCCGAAAAACCAGTAACGACGGTGCCAGGCGGACCTCTTTGGGGAGTGAATTCCATAGGTTGGGCGCCACTGCAGAGAAAGCCCTCCTCCGAGTACTTACTCTCCTAATTTCTTTCATGGAGGGTTCCCGGAGAAGGGACTCTCCCGCAGATCTCAAAGGGCGGTCGGGCAAATACAGACGTAAGCGCTCGTTCAGGTAGCCAGGACCCAAGCCGTTTAGGGCTCTATAGGTCATAATCAACACCTTGAATTGGGCCCAGGCTTCAATGGGGAGCCAGTGGAGCTGACGGAGGACTGGAGTCATGTGAGCATAATGCCCCGTCCCCTTCAGCAACCTGGCAGCTCTATTTTGCACCAATTGAAGTGTTCGGACCGTCTTCAGGGGAAGCCCCACGTAAAGCGTGTTACATGTTCCCAGGTATTTATTTCAGATCTTCCTTTTTGAAGTCTTTTCATAGGATTTCTTAAAAGGTGATGGACAGAGGTTACAGAATGCCATTTCCAGCCCCTTCAGCACCACAGGATCCAATTCATCTGAGTGTGAGGAAGTCACTTATTATATAATCACTCCTTAATTACATACAAGCATACCTGAGCCATAAGAAGCATCTTGACAGTGCATAATACCTGAGCTGATTGAAAGAGCAATTTTTCAGAGTTCTCTCCAACTGCATTAAGAGACTTAATTCATGGGATTATGTACATGGGAGTAAGCCCCATTGAACGCAATGAGACTTATGCCTGAATAGACCTGTGTAGGCTTGGATTTTGTTACTATCATCCCATTGTATTTATATCCTGCTTGTGAGGAACCCAAGCCGGCTTGCAAAGCGCCACTGCATCCTCACAACCACCACCACTGTGAGGGAGGTGGGGCTGCGAGTCCAAAGTCGCCCATTGGGCTTTTTGGCCCAGAAGGGGCCAGAAATCGGATCTGCGGGGTGCCCAGGCTGTGACTGCGGCACACCCGATCAGAGGCTTGCGCCCCCCAGCCCCGACGTGCCCGATCCACGCCGCGGAAGCGCCTCCGAGGCCCCCTGCAGGCGCGCCCGGGCGAGTCGCGGGCGGATCGTGGAAGAGGAGGAGCCGCAGCGAGGATCGCGTCGGTGGGGGCCGGCCATGTGCAACCTCGCGAGGCGCTGCGGCTCGATCCGAGAAGCTCCGGCCGCAGCCAGGTAGGAGGCGAGGTGGGTGACGGGGCAGCGAGGCGGCTCACCGGCCTCCCCGTCGCTTCTGAGGCCGGGCGCGGGGATCGGGGAGCCCCGTCGCCGTGGCGGGTGCAGGGCTGCCCCAAAGGTTGCACTCCCGCGAGGAGACTTGCTCCAGAGGAGGCATGCACAGGATTGCTCGGTCAGGCATTCTGTGCCTGCACCACGGGGGGCACGAAACCGGGCTTGGGTTGCAGCGGTGCCTCCAAACAGCTTGCTCGGCACTTTCCCCCCGCCTTGCAAGCTCGCTATAAATCCCCCCTCCGAGTTAAGCGTCGCGTTCCCTGTGTGGTTTGTGCTGTGGGAATAATCCGAATCCTAATAAAGTCTCGGCCTCCCTTCTGCCGGGCATCATAATACTGGCCAGTCTAATCTCTTCCCCCAGTGCAAACTACTTCCGGGCTATTTTGAAAATCCTATATGAAAGACAGGAGAGCAGGAATACCCGTCTTTTCGTGTCCTTTACTCGGCGAAAAACCAATTTCAGACAAGTAAGCTTACAAATATCTCGGGACGACAAGGAGACTTTAGGATGCTTGAAAAAATACTCTCCCTGGATATGTATTTGGGATTGCCAGTTTTCTGAACTGGCACTCGCAGGAGGCATCTTACATTCTGACGAAGCTTCTAGGCCCTTAACATGGCAGGCAGAAACTCAGTCGGTGTAGCTTTTCCCCAACGCGGAAAGAAAATGATGGGAAGAACATTTTTTCCCCTGGGTGTTTAGCTAGGGAAGCATAGAGCTGCTTAGCCAGTTTTTAAATGGACAAGCTAGTGATTACACAATATGAAGACGATGGCATGCTTCCGTGATTTTAATTGAGTGACTCACCCTGAGAAGAGCTCCGGCAAGGCCCAAGTTTGTCTCTGCCCTAAACATCAATCTGCCATTTGTATGATGAATATACTATCCCACCGGACAGGCGTCAAGAAGGATTATGGGGGTAACGTATTTGAAGCACTCTTGAGAATTAAATATAAGAATAAACTCAAGTGCTATTGCCTCCTAGAATCCCATTTTTGCATCCCAACAAACTTTTCCTTCTGCTTTCTTCCTCTCCAAGCCCCATTTATACACCCCTTCCTTGTCTGCATGTATAGACCACCCTGAATCTACCGCCAGAAGCCAAAGTCAGAAGTCATTGCAAAGCTGAGGGCTTCCTCAGGCAGGCCCTGAGAAAAATAGCTTTGCCTAACTTGGCCTGCTGCTGGAAAGGAAAACGCAGCGATGTAACAGGACACACTCATTTTTAAATTAGATTTTATTTATTTATTAGATGCACATCCTGGTTTTTTCATACAATGAACTCAAAGCAGCTTACATGATACTCTTCCTCCTGCTCTCAAACTTATCCCCATAACTACCCTGTGAGGTAGGTTGTGTTGAGGGCCTGCGACTGGCCTAAAGTCGCCCAGTTGGCCCCATAGCCGAGTGGGAACTAGAACCACAATCTCCTGAGTCCCAGTCCCATGTTCTTCACCAGTATACCACACTGGCTCTCATTTAACTTCCATTTTTTCCTGAGCCTCTTGAAAGAAAAGGTTGAGTGTCTTTGCTAAAAGCCTCAAGTGAAACTGAAGGGCGGGGGTATATTTTGAAGCATGGGCTCTGATTCAGTTTCTTTGCCAGATTCTCTCTTCTTGAACATACATAGTGATGTTCAAAGAAAGACCATTCATAAGGGAGATTGCATGAATATTTGTTTGAGTGGTTTTATCTGACTGCATGTGAATTAACTTCCAAAGAGTCCAAAGAATAGCTATAGGGTTATTTTTTCACTCATTTGAGGATGTTTTTTTTACTTTACTTGCTCTGGTTCCTTGCTGTATTTTACTGTAATTTAAAGATGCTGCTAATACAACCAATTCTGCTCTGAGCAATGTCACATTAAGACTAAAGATAAAGGTTTATCAATAGGCAGTGCTTTTTTTTGTCATAGAACGCACTGGAACGGAGTTCCGGCACCTTTTTTTGACAGAATTTCCAAGTTTTTAAAGTAACTTTTGAAAATTTGATGTTTGCTCCATGTGGATTTGAATCGCCCTGTCGAGCATAGCAGGTCGGCGGCAAAATCATTAAAACGGTGCATGCAGGCTGCTTGTGTGTCGAATCCGATGCACGCGTACTTCACACTGGTTGTGATGGCGCTGCTCGGCTTGTGGTTGGTCGTGTGGTTGCACACTGAGTGCTTACTGTGGGCGGCGACCATCATGGTTCGTTACACAACTGACGTGTGTGGGTGTGTGTACAGTGATTGACTATGTGCGAAAGGTAAATAATTTCATGAGTTCCAGCACCATTTTTCTTACAAAAAAAGCACTATCAATAGGTGTATTGAGAGCGGACGCATAAATAAGGTGCCATCTTCTGAGCAAGGGTGTCAATTTGGTTCTGGTCAAATAGATTCTCTCCAACACTTGATTTGATTGCAACCTGCTTAATGTGGCAAAAGACAGTTGGATAAAACCTCATATTCCAGACTCTAGATGTGATTTGGATAAATTGAGGTTTCTTTTGGCAGGGGTAGATTTTAATATTACACTGGCAGTTGCCAAGTCTTTTTCTCAGTTGATTAAGATTAAAAATGACTAGTTTTTTAATATCATATACAGTGGTACCTTGGCTCACAAACTTAATCCATTCCAGGACTCTGGTCGTGACCCAGATTGGTCGTGAGCCAAGTCAAATTTCCCGATAAGGCTCAATGAAAATAAGGTTAATCCGTTCTGTAAATATTTTTTTAAATCACAAAAATGTGAAACAAAGTAACAGAGTACAGTACAGTAGAGAACACTAACCTGGATGGGAGGGAGGCTATTGTTTGGAGCGAGAGTCCAAACCATAATCGTGTGTTAGCGATCGTGCTGGGGCGGGGGAGACAGGCGCGATCGTGGTCGTCACCCAATGCGGAGCTCGCGAATGGAGGCAATTTTTCTCTGAAATATCTGTTCATGATCCGATTTGGTCTTGAACTGAGGCGTTCGTGAGCCGAGGTACCACTGAAAATACATTTTTAAAAATAGTCTGTAAAGAGAGAACAGTAAATTTCTGCTGTTTTTCAAAATTAAATATTTCCAAACTCTGTTAGGATTCTGAAATGTTAGTGATCTAGTGTATTGTATATTGTACTTTAATAGATCTAATTTGAAAATAAACTCTAGATTTGAGAAGACAGGAACCAGAAGAAGGACCAGTCAGAGCACAAAAACCCATTAGTACGGTTCAGCCAGAAAATATGATTGACCAACCTAGATGGGGAGAAGCACATGAGGAGAAGGAGGAACCATCCAAACGAATTCAAGAGCTTTGGGAAGCCCAATGGCAGGAATTCCTGGAGACGCTGCAGCCTATTCATCCCGGATGGGGAAACCCAGTGATATCAGAAACTTCTCCATGGGAAGATGCCAAGGCCTTCCTGGCCTCCTTCGAGCAGGTGGCCAAGGCCTGCCAGTGGCCTCGAGAAGAGTGGTTAGCCCGGCTCCTGCCAGCACTAAGCGGGGAAGCCGAGCAGGCCTTTCAAAGCCTGGAGGCCAGAGATCAGGAAGACTATGAGAAAGTGAAGGCGGCCATCTTGCGAGGGGAGGCCCTGAGAATGGAGATGCAGCGCCAGCTCTTCCGGCAGTTCTGCTGCCAGGAGGTGGAGGACCCCCGGCGGCTGCACCGGCAGCTCCAGGAGCTGTGCCGGCAGTGGCTGAAGCCGGAGCGGCACAGCAAGGAGCAGATCCTGGAGCTGCTGATCCTGGAGCAGTTCCTGGCCAGCCTGCCGCCCGACCTCCAGGGCTGGATCCGAGCGGGAGGGCCGGACTCCTGTTCCCAGGCGGTGGCCCTGGCGGAGCACTTCCTGATAAGCCAGCAAGTGACCGAAGGAGGGAATTGGCAGGTGAGAGTTTAATACTGAATCCCCAGAATTTGTAAAAAAAAAAAGATGTAGAATGAGTTGTAAATCACCTGCAATTTTTCAACAAATGTGATATAAATGCACTGTTAAAAAATTGTGAATAGGACATATAAGTGAAATTAAAGGCTAAAAATTACTTTCTGCACATGAAGATGAACTTCATGTGCAGAATGCCTTTCCTAATGCAAACATTTTATTGACCCCCCATTTATATGACATTTATCATGGATTAATGAATGATTGTGCTACGTGTGGGTTGCTTAACCCTGGCTTCACCCACATGTCACGCTACAATTCCCCATTGCTGGCACCATTCAGTGGTTGCTTATTCAGAATGGTGACCACACGCATCCCACACGCCCTGCATCTAATCATGGGTTGAAATGATGGCAAATATTTTATTCTAATATCTTAAATAATATAATCCATGCTCACCTACAAGATTAGGGAGTTTTCCCTGCCTGTTGCAGTTTATCTCTGCCTTCTGTTTTGAGTAGGAACATCTCCTTTCTTTCAGGAGCAACTGAAGGAGGAGGGTGTGTATTCTCTGGATGCAGAAGAAGATACGTTTGAAGCTGCGAAGGGACAGATCTACAAAGAAGCCCAGCCAGATGGTGATTTGGAGATCAGCGTCCTGGGTACGGATTCACAGTCTTCTGTTTCTTTTGGGGATTAATTCAGCTGACTAGCTCTCTGTAACACTTCTGGAAGCAATTTTGCCCTGGTCAGGGCTTCCGCGAACATTATTTCTGGCAGTTCCTCAGCAAGGTTATAACATATTCTTTGCAAGAGCTAGATCCAAAAGAAGCTCCTTCCAATTCAGCTGTGGGGCACATAAATTGTGAAAAGGAACCATTACAGACAAGGGGGAGTTTCCTGCATGGCTGTAATAAGGGGGCTGCAGCTCCTGCTCGCCATCTCAGGCTGCCCATTACCTGCCCCAGATCCCCATATTTTAAACAAAGGTCTCCACCTCTTAGTACAACCAGAGATGTGTGGCAGTATGTTTAGCCAGTGAGTAAAGTCACAGCCATGACCAATATTTGACCTTAGAGATTAGTGTCTATATAAGGACTTCCTGGTTTGGGGGCGTTGTTTGGCTTCTTGCAAAATAATGACTTCCATCCATAGAAAACAATGGAAAAATCCAGAATCTTTATATAACAACCCGTGCCTTGCTATATTAAACCAAGCATCTGTCCAAACTAGAAATCTGTTCACAAAGTGGTTGGCCAGAAGTCTGTGGGTGGCTACAAACAGAGCACCAGCACACCTTGGCCCCATGTTCCCCAGCATGTGCATACTGAGGACACACACAGCCATCAGGACTAGCAGCTTTACCCTTCATCAATTTGTCCAATCCTATTTTCAAGCTGCCCAGGCTGTTGTCCATCACCTCATTTCATGGAAGCAAGTTTCGTGGTTTAACCATGTGTTGTGTGAAGACATCCTTCCTTTAATCACTTCTGAATCTCCCGCCCATCAATTTCATGGTGTGACCCCCTCAGTATTATGAGAGAGGGAGAAAAATACCTCATAATACACTTTCTCCACACCAGGCATAATTCTATACACCTTTATCCTTCCTTATCTTTTTTCTGAGCTAAACACCAACACCAATGTTGCAGCCATTCCTCACAGAGGAGTTGATTCGGCCCCTTGATAGTTTTAATTACCCTTTTAGAAGACAAAGTGTTAAAGCAAACACTACACACACTCCCAAACTGGGAGCAATTAATTTCCTAACCATCAGTCTATGGATAAATATTCACTGAAACAAAGAGAAGGAGAAAATTGTCCCACCAGCCAAACACTTACAAATATTGCTTCCTAGTCCTCTCTGTTTCAGAACAAAGGTTGCTTCTCACAAGGGTTAGTTGGGCTTCTGGCTGTAATCCTAATGCAGACCTGGGGTCATCGTATCCCATAAACTTTTTAAGATAAGCAGATCCCATGCAATGATTCCTGTTTCCAAAAGTTCCAAGCATGCCATTGAGTTGCCCTTGCAGGGGGCTTCCAAGGAAGCGTCAGGCTTACTTACAAGATTTTATTTGTGTGCAAAATGCAGGTAAGCTAGCCAGCACTCCCAAGCTCTTCACCAGCAGGTCACTTACACTGTGTGTGCGGGGAGCGAGCCTGTAGGGTTGGCCCCAGTCAGCTGGAAGGGATGGTCAGCAGAGCCCCCTCAGCGTCAGTCCAAACAAGAGCGCATGGGAAACGAGTAGGAAGTGTAGGTTACACATGCACAGCAAAGTGCGGCAGATCGCAAAGTGTGTTGGAAAGATAACAAGTACAATGAGAGAGGGAGCACTGGGAACACTGAATTTCTGTGAGAGGAGGTGGTTTTTGTGTCTGTGTGCAGCCTGCTATAAAAGGCAAACTTGGTGTTTGTATTTGGGTTTTCCACCATGGACTGTGTTCTGCTTCCAGGATTGAAGAAGCATGGAAGAAGATTTCTACTAAGAGGCAGCGTAGCATATTGGTTAGAGTGTCAGACTAGTATCCAGGAGATCTGGGTTGGAATCCCCACTTGACCACAAAATTCCCTGTGTGACTTTGGGCCAGTCAGTTCCTTAGACAGTCATGACCCTGCCGTGTTGTTTCTGTGCCTAAAGAGCACTTTCAGCCACTTTTTTACAGCAGGGAAAATGTGGAATGTGCTTGTAAAAATGAAAGAAATCATGTTTTTACTGATGCGTTCTTGCTCTGCCACTAGACCGCTATGATTCTGTAGCAGAAAAGCAAGCAAGGAAATGCCTCAGGATGGGGAGGGGGAGGGCAAGAGAGGCCCCAGGTACAGTTGCCCTCTACCTGCAGGGATGGGCATGTAGCTGTTCCCTGTCCCACCTGCCAGTCGCCTGCCCCAGGCTGAATCCACCTGCCGTTTTCTTTGAAGAGAATTCCTCCAGTGGGAGCACAAGGGGTGATTAACTTTTTCTCCTACCAGGCATCAGAATGTAATTCTGCCGTCTTTTTGGAAGGACAATTCATAAATAATATGAGAAATCAGCAATAAAAAGCAGTCACCTTAAGGATGCAGGGGTGGACTGATTCCCCTTTTAAAATCCTGATTTCATCCTTTGCAGGCAGTGGAATCAAATACCCCGGCCAAGGCAATTCAGTACTTCCCGCTGACGAACTGGACATGGTCCAGACAGCTTTGAAAGAGGTACGTGACGCCGTGGTGAGTCTTTGGGCCAGTTTGCACGGTGGCTGCAGGCACAGTGAGTTGTGAATATCCAACCCGTGGTTTATTGTGCTGTCCGAAACCCATGTTGGGTGGGTTGTTACCATGGTTAACAAAACACCCCCAAACGAAAAGCAGCCCACAGTGAGCTGTGACGATCTTGTGAAACAAGTCAGTCAGTTTAAGAGCGAAACTGGGGCAATGAAGGAGTCAAGGTGGCAGATACTCGCTTGGCTGCTGCCATACACGGTTCCATTAGATCCGGGTATCCTTAGTGTGGGATCTACTCGTCTTAAAGCAGCTGGGAGAAAGTTTAAGGGATAGCATGTTCCCCGGTCAGCACAGAATTGCTGATTGCAGCCAGAAGCCCAAACTAAACATTGTGAGCCTGTATTCTGAAATATGGTGGTCTGCAAAGCAATATTTGTAAATGTTTGGTTGGGAGGACAATTTTCTCCTTTTGTTTGTCTCAGTGAATTTAGGCATGGACTGACCCTTGGGAAATAATGGTTCCAGTGTGTGCAGGATTTGCGTTAACACTTGGTCTTCTGAAAGGGCAGCTAAAGCTATCATGGGGTTGGAGCCACTCCGTGAGGAACAGCTGCAACATCTGGGGTTCTTTCGCTTTTCCTCCTTTGATAAGGATGTACAGAATTATAACCGATGCAGAGAATGAGAAGAGGGAGGCATTTTCATAACGTTAGAACCCAAAGCGGTCCTCCCTTGGGTGGGAGATCTGGGGCAGATCAAAGGAAGGCCTTCCCATCGTGTATAGTGAAACGATGGCATGCTCTTCCATGAAATGTATTGATGGCCACCAATTTGGACCTCTTAAAAAGGGGATTGGATGAATTTCATGGAAGGGAAGTCTGTGTACACCGGTTGCTGGGGAACATGGGCCAGAGGATGCTGTTGCACTCACGCCCTGCTTATGTCTTCATGTGGACAGCTGGCCAGCTACCATGTCAACAGAATGCTGGGCTTGATGGATCCTTCCCCTGATCCAGCAGGGCTTTTCTGATGTTCTTCTGTTCCTCAACTCAGTCTGAAGGGATGTCTGTTCTCTTATTTGCAGGAGCCAGTGGACCCTAGTGGAGCTGCCCTGCCCTTCCAGATGTTCAAGCCAAGCTTGACCCAGCCAGACCAACCTGCCGTCATCTGGCAAGTCTTGCAAGAGGATGGGGGAAATGTCAGTTTGCCGGGTAAGGAGCTTCTTTTCCCAAGTCCAGTAAATCCAGTAAAGATTAGTTTACCATCTGTAGAACTGACGAGTTTAGAGATTAAAAATTAGAATTTATTGTCAAGAAGGCAACCTCCGCTGTTACACAGAGGAATATTTGTGCAGAGGAACCAAATATGCCCCGCAGTCCTGCAGAGGATCTTTCTAGTTCATGGAAGGCAATAGCAGGTTTCTTAACTGCAGATACACTTTCTAGCCCTTATTTGCAATTAATATTTTAAATTAATTTATCTTAAAATTTGTGCAGTAGTGTTTGATGTTGTATAATTTAAAAATGACCACCCCAAATGCAAGGAGAGGGTTGACTTCAGCACAAGTCAACAAAGGCAGAGAGAGATGAGGAAGAGGAGGAGTGCAGCAGAATGGGAAAGAACTCGGAAAGGAAAAGGGTTCTTGGTGTCTTGACAAGAAGCTCCAGAGCACTGGCAAAATTACGTTTTGTCTTTCTTCAGGAGTCAAGAAAGGCCTTCAAGCCAAGGTGGAGCAATCTGTGTGTGGGGAAAATGAACTGGAGCACAAAACCAGTTCAGCCCCACAAATAAGCCAAGTGGATGTTCAGGAGGCAGCTGAGGTGCAAGAGGAAGGACCTGAGACCAAAGAGGAACAAGGGAAGCAGCCACTGGAGAGAGAAGATGCATGCAGAGAGCCCACAGATGCCAAAATTAGCCAGCCTTCCAATGTGCCCACAAGGGATCCAATGCCCTTGTTCTCCAAGTACGGCAGAAAGTATTGCTACAGGCTAGAACTTGATATGAGTGACACCGAAGAGGACTACGATGACCATCCCATGTTAGAAGAATATTTCCCGGAAGACTCGTACTCCCCGAAACATCAGGGAATGATAACTGGAGAAAGTAAATCTGAATTGTCTGATTCTCAGAAAATGGTTAATGTGAACAAAGATCCGGGTGACCACACAGTTGAAGAACCTCATGACTCGCTTGAGTGTGGGAAGAGTCATATAAAATTGCTAAAAGACGATCATGGATTTCAAAATGAAGCAAGCCCGTGTGCATCTTCTCCCTGTAGCAAATGCTTCAGTCCAAAAGAACATTTGACCGATCAGCAGTTCTGTTCTGGAGAGAAAAAGCATGAATGCCCTGAGTTTGGGGAAATCTGCACTTTTGGGCATGCACTAGTGAGACACCAGGAAATTCCTACTGGGGAAAAACCATACAGATGTTTCGACTGTGGGAAATGCTTCACACAGAAAGCAAACTTGGTGGGGCATCAGAGAATCCATACTGGAGAGAAGCCATTCACATGTTCTCAGTGCGGGAAAAGCTTCACGCAGAGGGGGTCCCTGATAGGTCATCAGAGAATCCACACTGGAGAGAAACCATATGAATGTTACCACTGTGGGAAATGCTTTAGTGAGGGAGGCATATTGAAGAGACATCAGAGAATCCATACTGGAGAGAAGCCATACATATGTCCTCAGTGCGGGAAAAGCTTCACGCAGAGGGGAACCCTTACAGGTCATCAGAGAATCCACACCGGAGAGAAACCATACAAATGTTCTCAGTGCGAGAGGTATTTTCGACTGGGAGGAACGTTAATGGCTCATCAGAAAATTCATACTGGGGAGAGACCGTACAAATGTTCTCACTGTGGGAAATGTTTCATTGGGAGGAAAATGTTGAGGAGACATCAGAAAATTCACCCTGACCATACGGCACTTCTCGATGTGAGGAATGCTTCAGTCAGAGAAGGCATTTGAATGATCCTGAACAAGTCCCCACAGGAGAGGAACAGTGAAGATGCCTGGAATTTGTGGGCCGACGTGGTTGTGGGACGTCAGAGGTTGTTCAAGGGCTAAAGATCTTATAAATGGGGGGAGCATTTTGTTCAGAAAGGGTGAAGCTCAAGCTCCAGGGGGAAACGTAGACTTTCCAAAGCCAATTTATTATCTATGAGCAATCATTGCAAAGGTTCTGAAGAAAGTGCTTTAAAATTCCCATAACGTTTTTTTCATTTAGAGTTTCTGCTGGAATACAGTGTTAATTGACTCTGTGAAAGTCTCTGTCTGGAGTCCATGTTTTAAGTCCTGTTGGTATTATGTGAATTTTAAAACTTAGTAGGCAGAAGATAAATAATATTGGTTTTAATCATTCAGGATTTTATACTTTCTCTAGACACACAAACACCCAGACACACAAATTTCCAGACACAAAAACACAGTGACTCTCTGAGCATGCACAGAGTGGTTGCTGAACCCAGTCTAGTATTCCCTTCCAGGAACTCTCCTGATGCGAATGCCTGGGCTCCATCCCTTTGGAAGGGGCCTTCTGAAAACAATGCCTCCTCTTTGCATGGCCGTCCTCTAATAGGGCTGCCCTCCTCTGCTGATGAAGAGTCGTGGGCTCAAGAGCTATGCCCATCTCACCCGTGTCTGAGAAAGTCCCCTCTCCAAGTCCCCTAACTGCACATCTTCGTGATTCCCAGAAGCTGCCTGTCCCCCCGGACGGAGCCTGGCCTTGAGCTGAGCGTCTCCCCCATTCTGATTCTGATTCCTAAGACCAGCCAGCAGCCTTTGAGAATGTGTGCCCAAAGCAGGCGTCTTTCCCATTCCTTACACGGTGTACTCTCAGACTGGTTTTGCATTTTAATGGCATGATTATCAGTTACTGTAATGGTACAGTGATTATGTTGCTCTGCTTTGCCTGTGCATTTCTAGCTCTTCAGGAAAATGTCTTTGCCACAACAGCTTTTTTTTGTTTAGTCGCAAAGCGTGCCTGACCCATCGCAATCCAATGGACAACACTCCTCCAGGCCTTCCTGTCCTCCACGATCCCCCGGAGCCCACCCAAGCTCACACCGACTGCCCCAGCGACTCCATCCAGCCACCTCATCCTCTGCCGCCCCCTTCTTCTTTTGCCATCTACTGTTCCCAGCATTAGGCTCTTCTCCAGGGAGTCCTTCCTTCTCATTAGGTGGCCAAAGTATTTGAGTTTCATCTTCAGTATCTGGCCTTCTAAAGAGCAGTCAGGGTTCATCTCCTCTAGGACTGACCGGTTGGATCGCCTTGCGGTCCAAGGGACTTGCAGGACTCTCCGCCAGCACCACAATTCAAAGGCCTCAATTCTTCAACGCTCAGCCTTCCTTATGGTCCAGCTTTCACAGCCATACATTGCAACTGGGAAAACCATAGCTTTGACTATACGCACTTTTGTCGGCAGGGTCATGTCTCTGCTTTTTAGTATGCTGTCCAGATTTGCCATAGCTTTCCTCCCCAGGAGCAAGCATCTTTTAATTTCTTGGCTGCAGTCCCCCTCTGCGGTGATCTTGGAGCCCAAGAAAATAAAATCTGTCACTAGCTCCATTTCATTCCCATCTATTTGCCAGGAAGTGGCACTTTGATATTGCTCAATGCTGTTTTCAGTGCTAAGGACCAGATGCCATAAGCTCCACAAGAGTTACTTTAAATCTGTCCTTTGCTGTCTTCGGGACCTGAGTTCACTCTCCCCCTTGCCTCCTGCAGGAGAGCAGCCCTAAAGTGTTCCCAGTGCACAGAGAATGCTAAAGATTAAGAAGGAGGACTAAAGGGAGGTTCTCTGTCTCAAGAGAACTTTCAGATTTTATTTTTCATGAGGGACCAAAAAAACAAAACAGGATGGTTGATCTGGTCTACTTTTCAGGGTCATGTCATTGGATGGAATTCTAGGAATTAGATCATTGGAGAAATCTGAAGTCGGTGGACATTAGGAGAACGAGGCATTCCCTGTTGACATGTTCAGGGCATTTTCCATTGGAGAGGTTGCTGAAGAGGTCCAAGATGCCTTCAGTGGATGCTGGAAATTCATTCATAATTTCCCCCAGAAAGGAAGCGGGAATAATCCATGTAATCCATTCAGAGTCATGATTGTCCATTCCAGGAAACACTCAGATCTGCCTCTACAGATACAGACTCTTCCTCCAGCTCATTTAACACAGATGAGTTACTCTGCTGCATACTACCAGTGCTTCCACCCCTGTGAAGTTACGGGTGAAATGGCAACTGCAGTCGCTCCATTATTAACTGAAAATAATGAAAACAGGGTGCAATTACTCTGCATCAGCTAATGCATTTCTCAAGGAGAATAAGGAGATGGCAAAGAACCTGAATGAATCTTTCACGTCTGTCTTCATTGCCAAGCTCGTCGGGCTGCTCAACATCTGTTCTAGCTAAATTGTGGAAAGCATGATTAAAAATAACATCATGAATGCATGGAAGGCAGCGTGCTTTTGGTCTGCACTTGGAAAAATTGTGCAGTTGTGTTCGCCCTTCAGAAAGGATATTGTAGAGTTGGAAAAGAATAGCACTGAGCAAGAGCAAATTGCGACAGCGGCTCTCTTGTGAGGAAAAATTAGAATGTATGGGCCTTTTTAGCTTAGAATGAAATGTGAATAAAGGGGAATATGATACAGGTGTGTAAGATTTTGGACCATGTGAAGAAAGTGGGCAAATAGAAAAGTAAGTTCTCTCCTACCAAGGGAATACTAGAACCCCAAATGGAAAGAAATCCAGGATGGACAAGAAGGGCATCTTCACAGAGACCGTAGCTAAATAAAGGAAATAGAGAAATAAGTTCTCTCCTACCAAGGGAATACTAGAACCCCAAATGGAAAGAAATCCAGGATGGACAAGAAGGGCATCTTCACAGAGACCGTAGCTAAATAAAGGATTATCGTAAGAAGAGCCGTGTTGGATCAGGCCAAGGGTCCATCTAGTCCAGCAGTCTGTGCACATGGTGGCAACCCAGCTGCCGACAGGATCCCCTAAGTGGACAGATGCAAGGCCTCCCCCTGCCCAAGCCCCTCAGCAACTGGTGTGTGCAGCCATTTGGATACCAATGTGGCAGGTAGCATTTGGCCAGATCTGGAGCCCATTGGCAATCTTCCCCAGGAATATGTCCAGTTCCCTTTTAAAGCCGTCCCGACTGGCAACAGAAAAAGGGTCTGCAACCTCTTCTAGAGGAGTACAGATGGAAAATAAATGAAAATGAAATGTACCTCTCTAACTCCATGAAGAATTCACGGATTCCTTGGTGCAGCCTTCGCCAGCTTGGCACCCTCCCAGGCCGCAGCTGGCCATGCAGCCTTGTAGTCTGGTCATTTCAAAATTACGGGTAAAATGAAATGGTTTATTTGGTTTTCTTCCCTGTGAATGCAGTGAATATTCTCCAAGCAGCAAAGGAGGTGCCTCAGCAAGGATACTCTCTGCTTCTCAAAATGCAAAGGTAGCTGGGCTGGCTAAAAGAAAAATGCAAATATTCAGATCTCTGGAATATTTATTAGGCCAACTGGAGGGTCAAAAGGGAAAAGTGCTCACTTTCCAGAAACTGAGCTCTTCATCTTCCAAAAAAGCAGGTGGGGAAAGGGTGAAGGGTGAAGGCAGAGGCCAATGAACAATGAAAGGTGAACAAGCATGCAAACATTCATATTGGGAACATCTCTTTTTGCAGAAGCAGTACAGCTATTTCAGATGAGCTTTTGGGAAGCTAATATTAAAGTATTATTTTAACACATTCCAAGTCCGAATTGTTTTCTGTAGCTGATGGTCTCTCTAGTGACTCTTGGGCATCTATCTATGCAGTAGCACATTAAACTATGACCTGATTCGTATGTCTCGGTAGCAGCTCCTAAATGATTTAGCTAAATAATTGTGTGAGTGAGCAAAGCAGATCTTGAAATCCTGTATTATTTATTTATTTATTTTATTAAAGGATTTTTCTATCCTGTCCCCTACAAATGTCTCATATTAGACAACCCAGAGGTAACCCAACAAGAAACCAGGGACAATTATTGGGTTAGCAGTCTGGGTTCACACAGCACAAAACTACGTTCAACTTTTCAACTATGCAGCCCTGATTCTATTAAAGTTTTCTCAGTACTGCCTCCTCTTTCACTGGATTCAAAGATTTACTCCAAAGTAAATCTGCACAAGAGTTTGACATGCATGTGATCCTTGATGTAGTCTGGGACCTTCCCAATGTAATGCAATACTTACAGCAATCGTTTATTCAGATGTGTCTGATTCCTACGTTCACAATGCACAATCCTACCCATGTGTTAGCGGACTCAGCCAGGCAACAGCCAGAGCAAGCCCAGGTGGACCCTAGACCCTGAGTCAAAAGGAGGCTGAGACGAGACTTTGAGCCAAAAAACAGTTTTATTCTAGTGCACTGTAGAATAAACTGATACAGAAGGGAATAGACTTCCCAAATCAGCGTCTCAAAAGTTGCACCCCAGTACAGGTGTTTAATACTCTATGTAAGCAATCAGGTCACCTAATGCACATTTAACACACCAGTGCATCAAATTATGCAGCCCCGGCCCCTGCTGTTAGCTTTAAAGAGTTCTTTCTTCTGTCAAGGACCAGATATTTCCCGTGTCTATTTCTTATCTGAGATTCACACAGGCTTGCCATGTTCTTACTCCCTGCACATTTGCAACTTTTATGGTAGCTATAACTGGTTTCCACTGTCCCTTTGATTACTGTATTCGAGGTCAAGCTAGCTTGTTAGCTGCGGGTTACACAAAGTCAATTTTTGTTCTTATCCCCCCTCCCTTCTGGGACATGAAATTCAATATGGCTGTGGTGTTTTCACTATTTATTTATTTATTAGAACATTTCTATGCCGCCCCTTGCCAAAGCCTCGGGGCGGCTTACAACACAATAAAATACAAAAATAACAATATAAAATTAAAATTAACAATATAAAATAAATAAAAGATATAAAAGAAGTTACTATGTGGTCTCCCTCTGGCCAGCTATGTTTGGGGTGCTGCAACTGGTTTAAGACAGAAAAAAAGCCTTACAGCTCCCAGCATTTTTTTCAGTGGTGTGTCCCTGATCCTATTAGTGTTTTCTCAGAAATAGGCCAACTCCCACTGGATTCCAAGACTTATTCCAGACTAAAGCTGGATAGGGCATGTAAACCGATCTTAATCCTATAGACCTTCATTCTCAACTAGCACAGGATTGTGCCTTAAGGGCCTATTAACATCCTTAGTCTGGGCAGGAGCTTCCTCAGATATCTTCATAAACTTAAGGAAAGCTCAACTGTTAGAATAAATCTGTTGGCGAGCCAACAGGATTTTGGGCATCCTCGTTGCAGCTAATGTTGGACCCGCAGCGCTGCAATATGGAGTCATCCAGCAGCGGGCGCCCCCGGCAGCTCCACCATTCAACCACAGAGGATGAAGAGGAAGAGGAGGAGGAGAAAACCGGGACCGAAGCGATTGCAGCTTGGTGCTGCCGCGAACCAGCCGGCAAAGAAGGAGAGATTCCCGCTGGATCTGCCCCCTCGGACTAAACCGCGCGCATCTGCCTGGAAAGAGCTCAGCAGCCGAGCTGCAACAAACCCACCGGCCAGCCGAGAGTCACACCGGACTCCTCGGCACTTCCGGTATGATGCGACATCTCCGTTTAGCTCTATGTTGCCGTGCAAGGCTGCCTGCTCTTGCTTTGCGGCTGCGGTTCTGCCCGTACTCTCAGCAGCGGGGAAGCCTGACCTGCCCCGCGTTGCAGAGCAAGTGATTCCGACTCACCCCCCACTTGCAGGGAACAACGCCGGACTAGCGTTGCAGGCGTGTCCCACGTCGGCCCAGTCTCCTTCTTCAGCCTGCCCCGTGCAATATGCAGCTATTAATACAGGCGCCCTGTAACCCAAATGCTCTGTATAGCCGATCCCATTCCCCCTGCAGCCTGAAATAGGAAAAAAACAAGGCTTGCCTACACGACAGGGTCGTTGTGACTTGGTCTTCCTCTTCTGCAATATGAAGCTACTGGACAGGCCAGTTGCACAACCCCTGCTGCAGGGAAGGTTTTTGGAATAATAGAAACAAAGCCAGTCAGAAGGGGCCTCTCGGGCCATCCTGCCTGGCCCTTGGCTCCAGCCAGCTCCTCTCATAACATGCCTACCTTGTGCATGTCCAGCCTATCCTTGAACACCCTCCCCGACGGGGCCGCAACCACCTCCCGTGGAAGCCCGTTCCAAACCGTTGGGGTCCTTAGGGTCAGGAAGCACTTCCCGACATCCAAACTGAAACTTGGTTCTCTGAGCTCGGCTCCACTGGAGCGGGTCCTGCCTTCCTCTGCAGGGGAGAACAGGTCTCCACCCACCTCCATGTGACATCCCCTCATGTACCTGTATGTCGCCCACAGATCCCCTCTGAGTCTCCTCTTCTCCAGGCTGAAGAGACCCAGTTCCCTCAGTCTCGCCTCAGACGGCATCGCTTGCAAACTGGCCACCAACATTGTGGCCCTACGCTGCACTGACTCTAACCTGGCTATATCCTTCCTGTAATGTGGAGCCCAGAACTGAACACAATACTCCAGTTGTGGGCGCACCAGAGTCGTGTAGAGTGGTGGCAATACCTCTCTTGATCTAGAAGCCACACTTCTGGCTATGCAACCAGGGGTGGCACTCACCCTCTTGACTGCTGTGTCACACTGCTGGCTCATGTTTGGCCTGCAGTCAACCAGCACCCCGAGGTCCCTTTCACAAGTGCTGCTCTCTGGCCACTTGTCCCCTAACCTGTACTTATGACACCCATTCCTATGGCCCAAGTGCAAGACCTTGCATTTATCCACATTGAACGCCATCCTGTTGTCCCTTGCCCACTTCCATAGTCTGTCCAGATCCTTCTGGATCCAGAGTACCTGCTTCTCAGTTGTGGCCATTCCCTCACCCCCATTTTAGTATCATTGTGATAGAAAACAATATTTTATTACCACTCAAGGGCATCTGACACTGGGGATGCAGGAATGTCCCCTTTGCTTTTTGTTTTGCGTAGAATAAAATTCCCAGAGAAGCAGCTGCCTGGGTTTATTACAGTCAATTTAGGGAGAATTTCTACTTCCAAGACTTAAGGTGCAATCCTATGCACCTTCAGACAGAAAAAGGCAGTAGAAATTATAATCATCATCATCATTATTGATCTTGTTGCATTTATATACCATCCCAATAACCCAGAGGGCACTCTGGGTGGTTTGCAAACATGAAAACCCAATATACAACAATAAAATACTCCGATAAAACATGAAATGCTAAAAACATCACTACAAAATACAAGCAGCAATAACTCCATATAAAAATTTAAAGCCACACAATACAGCAGTAGCAAAGCATTATTAAAATTTAAACTTTAATAATGGGACATACAGGAACAGGCAATATTTCAGATATTACTGCTAAGGATAATTCCCTACTATTGCGACTTCAAATCACAGTCCACCCCCTGCCATGGGAAGTATGACTCTTGGGATCCAGTGGGCTTCACTCTCAAATGCATGTATGCAAAATTTCAGCCTAAGAAATTCAAGTATTCCAGTTTAGACAGAGCAAAGGCCTACAACTCCCACTATGCCCTAGCCAGGCTGGAGCATGCTGGGAAATATAAGCTCCCCCCCCCCCCCAGTTTGGGGCATAGCTTACTGGGCCATGCTAACATTTGTTGGTGTTTCTTCTGTCTAAAATACTATGGTGCCTTTATTGTGATCGAATATTTCAAACACTAGGGCATACTTCATCAAATGCATGAAAGGTTATCTCTACCAAATTTATCAAATTGAAGCCAAGATTTATTTTATTTTATTTCTATGCCACCCAGTAGCTCAAATGCTCTGGGAGGTTCACAACACTTGTTCAAAGTACAATTTTAAAAATATAGAACTAAAATATAGATAAAATAAAACACTGTATACAAGCTCCAGTATGCAAATTTAACAGTCTAAAATTGCAGTATACAAAATTTAAGACAGTTCAAACATCTAAAATTAGATGTTTAAATAAAATTAGACCTAATTAAAACTGCTTTCAGCCCTTCCTTCTGATCTGATCATTTGAATCCCTGGCCTTCTGCATACAATCTGTGTTAATAGGCAGTCCTTCCTTCAATCGTTCACCCCTTTACTTTGCATGTGACTCCTGGTCCAAATATACTTCTAAGTAACCTGTGATTATTTTTCCTATATTTTGCTCCTGTTTGACCATAAATCTTTCAGTTCTTCTGGTTCAATATTATAAAGATCAAAACGTAAATTTCTGCTGTTTTTCAGAATTGCTGTTGTAAACTTTGTTAGGTCTCTCAGATGTTTGTTATCTCCAGTCAGCATAAGGTGATCTAACTTGAAAATACTTTTAACTTTAGATTCGAGAGGGTAGAATCAGGAGGAAAAGCCATGAAGGAGGAAAAACCTAGAGGCCCAAACCTCAAAGAAGGACTGGTCAGAACAGGAAAAGCCACCGTTGCAATTCAGCCAGAAAATACTGCAGACCAGCCAGGATGGGGAACATCACAAGATGGCAAGAGGGAATCTTCAAGGACAAAAGAGGAGTGTGGAGAAGGCCAAAGAGTGGAGTTCCTGCGGACAGGGTGCCCCGTTCACACAACATGTGGAAACCCAGGGATGCCAGAGGCCACCCCGTGGGAAGACACCAAGGCCTTCCTGGCCTCCTTCGAGCAAGTGGCCAAGTCCTGCCGGTGGCCTAGAGTGGAGTGGGCGGCCCGGCTCCTGCCGGCACTGAGCGGGGAAGCCGAGCAGGCCTTTCGAAGCCTGGAGGCTGGAGACCGGGAGGACTACGGGAAGGTGAAGGCGGCCATCTTGCGAGGGGAGGCCC